GATGTGACAGAAGGGTGTATGTATATATATATATATATATATATATACACATACACATACACCCTTCTGTCACATTTTTTGTATCTGACACCGCTACACTATATATATTTCAGGATTAAAAGAAGAGACGGGTGTATGTATATATATATATATATATATATATACACATACACATACACCCTTCTGTCACATTTTTTGAATCTGACACCGCTACACCGCTACTTATTGTGTTCAGTCTGTCCAGTGGGACTGTGATGTAGGAAATGTCCGATGCTAATGTGTTGCCTTCCTGTTTCCTGGGCAGTACATGGGTTGCGTGGAGGTGCTACAGTCAATGCGAGCACTGGACTTCAACACCAGAACTCAGGTCACCAGGTGAGACCACACAATGCTCGTCAGTCGCTGGCCTGCTACTTCTCTCATTTCAGCTCTTGTTTGCGCATGTGGGGGCGAGAAGGTAAAAGTGTGTTTAGACTTAGAAACAACGGATGGATACACTCACACACCACTCACTGCTCATATGTTGCTTCGTCTGCTTGCTTGCTTTCTTTTCCACTTCCACTCTCTTTTGCTTGTTTGCTTGTTTCTCTCTGTGTTAGTGTCTGACTGCATCTGCTCATNGAAACCATTTGGAGGAAGAGAGAGAGAGAGTAAAAATGAACTTGATGAAAGATTTGAGAATACAATGCACTTGAAAAGTAGGTGTTAAGGAAAGTGTGCTGCCACCAGGAGTTGGAGACTAGCCATACATCAGTAAGCCTCCTCTCTTCTTTAGCAGTTCTGTGCTTCATTGAGCTCTGCAGATGCTCTCTGTAGTATTGACCAATTGGAGCTGTGTATTGTGTGTGTGCGCGTGTTGCTGCTGTGTTAGTGCGCGCAGCCCCCTTGCGATCCCCTCGTTGGCTGCTAATAGGATTTTTATGGGCCCGTGTCAGGCAGGATAGAGCTGCCAAGGGGAGCCGCTTCACACATGCACACATGTGCGCACACCAACACACACACATACACAGATAATCTAAGAGGTATTGTGAGCAGGGAAGGTTTATGCTGCCTCACACGTGTAAACACATCACGTACAAGTGCGCACCCCTCAATGCTGTAAGACACATGCAAGGGGGTGTTGAGAGAATTCACTTGTTCACTGTTGATTCTCCATGGTGCTGCCGACAGCTGGATAACTGGCCCTCACTGAGTTGGAACAAGATATTCACAGATATCGTTTTACATTATGGCAAAAACACTGAGATGAACACTTTTTGTAGAGCGAAGATGATGATCTTATGATTTCATCAGTTCCTGGGAACAGGATGAACATTGAAGCAGATTTAAAGTGAACTGATGACAACATGATCTGCACTGGTGCACTAAAAACAAACTTTTTTCATCTGCATTCTACCATTAACTGGGACACCCCACTTCTCTGCACCTTTTTCATTCTGCTTTCATTTCTGGATAAAGCCGTTTCTAAAGCAGTTTGGTTTTGGCTGCCTGGTAATGAGTGGAGGACAGACAACCAGACAGATGGATGCAGCTCTTACACTGAGCAAGACAGACAGATGGCTGTGTGTCCTTTTAGGGAGAAACTTTGAATACTGAGACAAAGAGACGTTGATTGAATCACTAGAGCCTCTGTGGACTTGCACGGATAGAAAAACTGACACTGCAGATTCATTATGGAGCTTGTCCCAAAAACCAAATACACCCACTTTCGGAGTGAATCGCTGAGCTCAACTGATGAAACAAACTCCAATCCATCATCGTTCCCTCCTTCCAGTCCTGCTACCCCGCTCACTCCCTCCCCTGGTTTACCTTCTTCTCTCTCTTCCTCATCTCTCACTCCCATCTTGCCCCCCTCTTCTCCCCGCCCGGCAGAGAACAGCCCCACCACCCTTTGTTCCTTCTTCCCTAGGATGGGATCTCTTCGTCTGGGCGTCTCTGCCACTCTTCTCCCAGGACTCAAGGCCTCAAACAGGCCGCAGCAACCTCAGGCGCCTGTTGAGTCCTCTGGGGACGACAGGAGCAGCTCTAGCTCCTCCCCTCCGCTTCATCACCCTGTTCCCCCTCTAACTGCTCCTTCTCCCCCTCCTCGACCTCCTCTGCAGGATATGAACCGGCTGGGAGGGGCGTCCAGGAGGGCACGGGTGGAAGGAGGGCAGCTGGGAGGAGATGAGTGGACGCGCCATGGCTCCTTTGTCAACAAGCCCACCCGTGGCTGGCTGCACTCCGACAATGTGGTCAGCACCACCGGTGTTTCCTACACTGTACGGGTAAGTAACTGGCACCCTCTCACTCATCCCTAACTGAAATATGTAATTTACACATCTCTCTTTCCAGTATTTGCATATATATATATATATATATATATATATATATTTCAGGATTAAAAGATGTGACAGAGAAGGGTGTAATGTATATATATACACATACACATACACCCTTCTGTCACATTTTTTGAATCTGACACCGCTACACCGCTACTTATTGTGTTCAGTCTGTCCAGTGGGACTGTGATGTAGGAAATGTCCGATGCTAATGTGTTGCCTTCCTGTTTCCTGGGCAGTACATGGGTTGCGTGGAGGTGCTACAGTCAATGCGAGCACTGGACTTCAACACCAGAACTCAGGTCACCAGGTGAGACCACACAATGCTCGTCAGTCGCTGGCCTGCTACTTCTCTCATTTCAGCTCTTGTTTGCGCATGTGGGGGCGAGAAGGTAAAAGTGTGTTTAGACTTAGAAACAACGGATGGATACACTCACACACCACTCACTGCTCATATGTTGCTTCGTCTGCTTGCTTGCTTTCTTTTCCACTTCCACTCTCTTTTGCTTGTTTGCTTGTTTCTCTCTGTGTTAGTGTCTGACTGCATCTGCTCATATCTGTGTGTGTGTGTGTGTGTGTGTGTGTGTGTGTGTGTGTGTGTGTGTGTGTGTGTGTGTGTGTGTGTGTGTGTGTGTGTGTGTGTGTTTTCACGCCTGCAGCTCTCTCAGACCCTAAATTAGAATGTTCTGGAATCCTGGTGGTCTCCCTCTGGTTTCCGTAGTAATGTTTGTCCCTGTGGCAAAGACGAGTATTGTTGCCAGGGACGATAAATTCAATCACCCACTGCCAGATCTCATTTAATCCATATAATTGTAAGTCCGGGAAGGTGCGAGAGTTAATGACATGGTATTGTAACTCTTGCATGTTTTCAATGTTTCAGGGAGGCAATCTCTGTGGTGTGTGAGGCAGTACCCGGAGCCAAAGGAGCCCAGCGCAGGAGAAAGGTACACACCATGCACACTAGCACACACCCTTACAGGGCATTATTTATTTATATGGTTTAAGTGGGCAGCAGTGGGAAGGGTTTTCTGGATAAGAGCTAGATTTAGCTTGATTGTCCACTCTGTGGTCAGTTGGCTATTCAGTCACACACTCTCCCTCACACACACAGATCTTGATTTAGGCTGATTGTACACTTTTGTGGTTAGTGGGCTACTTGCAGGTAATGACCAATCACTCTCTGGTCTCTCTTTTCTCTCCCTCCATCATGTCACAAGGGAGGCTATAGAGGTAGAGTTGTAGCTCCTGTGGAGCCAGTGTCAAGCCAAATAAGCACTCCAGACTAGCAGACACAGCTGCAAGTGTGCTGTTTAAAGACTGTGTGTGTCTGTGCACAGTATTCCTGTAAAACTAAAAACACCCACCCAAACAGTTCATAAAACAGGTGGCTAAATCCAGCGCCCTGCTGCCATAGCAGGGTTTGACCAAGGAACGTCTGGCAGTGCAGGACACCAGACAAAATAGTTATAGAATGTAAGCTAGAATAGATTAAACTAGTCTAGTCCCTCTGATTTGGCTGGACTGAGGTTAATGTGGCTGAGCATGTGCATCCTGTTGTGATGCTGCCGTTCTCACACTGCACTCCAAATATTCCGGAGCAGATATGGATGAAAGCCATGAGAAGAAGGAGGATTGGGATAAACGAGCTGGCACAATAGTGCTGGCATGGTTCTGCGTGATGCTCTTGGCACAGCCTACAGTATGTGAACTGTCCCGTCTACTCCCCATTGGTCACAGTTGGCCTTCGAGACAGGATCATTTTCAAAATTGCAGCTGTTCTCCCACTCCCACACACACAGGCATTTCCACACATACACCCACAGGCTCATGCACAGGCAGGGAGCACTCACTGGAGTATCGTGCCTTGTTGAAGTAAAAAAAAAAAAAATAAAACCCTGTAGGTTTCTGTTTGTGAATGTTGTTTGTATTTTACTCATGGACCATATCCCTCTCTTTTGCAGCCTTCCTCACGCTGTCTGACGTCCATCCTGGGGAAAAGTAACCTGCAGTTTGCTGGCATGACAATCAGCCTCACCATCTCGACCAGCAGCCTCAATCTGTTGGCCTCTGACTGCAAACAGGTTAGACTGAAACCAGCTTACCCCTGAAGTTACTGTTGCGTGTATTTTTCTCAAAAGCTCTGTTGGTGTTTGGGAGATTTGTCCCAGAGACTTCACTGTGAGTCAGTGATGCATCTGATTGTTAGAGCTCTGTTTTAGCCGGAGGTATGTTTGGTATCCTGAGTGCACTTAGCTGGTGCATTTTACTGAAGAAGAGTAAAGCTAAGGATCTCTCTGCTTGAGGGATTTCTTGTGGTTTTAAGGATTTTAAAGACTTTTTAAAGATCAACTTTAGAAGGGCAATTTTAATATTTTAATGAAAATGTAAATGTTTTTATTTTCATCACCCCCATTTTATTGTAAATATTTTTTGGAGATCATTTTTGAGATCAAGAAAATATCTTCCTAATCAAAATCTGTGTTTTATTTTTGTCATTTTGTCATCAGAGCAATGTGTCTTATGACCGTTTGTGACATTCAAGGGATGCCCAGATCATTTTAGAGCTTCTCCACTTTGTTTGCCTCATTTGCTCTGGATGATGCACAAATCCCTCTTAACCATCGTCTTCATTCCTGCATCACCACAGGGCAGGATGTGATCCTCCTCCTAGACCTCTTATGAGTTAATAGCTACTGAACGATGTTTATTTCTTTGGGGAAATGGCATACAGTAGTGCAGTGCATACACATTAACACGTAGCACAAAGCAACATGCCGTTCACATACACTCATTCACAAATACAGCCCACACATTGTGCAGAGAGCATTAGCAAGTGTTGATGCTGTTATTGATCCAACATGGGTGGTTGTTGCCGACTGTTAAAAAGGTGTTCCACCCATGCTTAGTTTTTATCACTGCTGCAGTTGATGGTGCTCAATGGAGGAAAAAGCACTTTTCTCAGTAATTATTCCACATTTGTCTCTCCATCCACATGCTTTCATCTCACTTCCCACATACTTCATGTCACCCACATGCTCTTCTTCTTTCTCTCTCTCTCTCTCTCTCCTCTGTCTTTCTTTCTCTCTCTCTCTCTCACTCTCTTTCTTTTTCTCCACAGATAATCGCCAATCATCACATGCAGTCCATCTCCTTCGCCTCTGGAGGAGACCCAGTGAGTCACCCAAAGTCAGCTCAAATCTCACTCTGGACATTTTCCATCTTTCTTCCGCCTGCATATCCTTCCTTCCTGTCCTCTGTCATTGTCTATTCTTATAAATACCACTCGCTCCATTGCTGCCTCGCTGGTTTGCAGTCTTCTCCTCCAAGCCTGATCTCATTACTTCCTGTTATCTCTCTTTCAGCTCAGTGTATGTTTTTAACTTCTGCAGCTTTGCTTTGTCTCTTTCCTCTTCATCGTCGTCTTCTTCTTCTTCTTCTTCTTCTTCTTCTTCCTTTCAACCTCTCTATCCTAAACCTGCCCTTCACTTTTTCCTCCTATCGATTTTTGTCCCCTTGCCCTCTTCCCCTAACTGTCTACCCCTGTCTCCCTCAGGATACGGCTGAGTACGTAGCATATGTGGCCAAAGACCCAGTCAACCAGAGAGGTGAGCAGAAACAGCAAAATGACACCTCCACTCAGACAGCATCTGCCAGTAGGCTGCTTTTTGGGGCTGTTGGTTTGACCATAATCCTCTGATGCATGAGTTGCAAATCTCTCTACATTCACTCTCACTGTACGGTGAAACAGGCTGTGAGATTGCACTTTCAGCATATACTGTAAATATAAAGGTGAACAAGCCGTTTTATTAAAATATAGATTAATCCTATTAAATCAGTGAAATGGCTCTATTCATTTCTTATTTCCCTCTGAGTTTTACACGCTGCCTCCTGAAGATATTACAGACCCAGAGTGCAAACCAAGAAACAGTACATTTACTGCTTAATAGGCATCACAAGTAACAGGACTATTTTGGATTTTTTTTTTTGGCAGCACCTGCTTTATTTGTGCTTATGAGCTATATATATATATGAACACATGGCTTGATTTTCCAAGCAATAATAAACACACTCACAGAACTGGGGACTGACTGAAAAAAATATACAGAAATGCTTGTTCCTACGACAGTCAACACCACTTTAAATATTATTAATGTTATTCTTGTAATTTGAGGGAAAACTGCAGTGAGTACACTGGATGACATGCACTCCATTTCAACATTTTCATATTTGTCTAGATGACTGCATATTTCCCACAAGTACATGTTGCTGCAGCTACTGTATCTTCATTTAGTGACTCATTTGTGCGTCCTCTCTTTCAGCATGTCATATCCTGGAGTGCTCAGAGGGTTTGGCCCAGGAAGTCATCAGCACCATCGGCCAGGCCTTTGAACTACGTTTTAAACAGTACCTAAAGAACCCACCTAAACTGGTCACCCCTCATGACAGGTAAATGTGGGCGTGTTTGCTCTGCGTCTTTGAGCCCAAAACAAGAGCTTGTGTTTCTATTTTTCCACCCATCATTTGTTTTTGTATCTGCTTTTATATCGCCACTTTCTCTCCCAGAATGGCTCCGTTTGACGGCTCTGCATGGGAGGAAGAAGATGATGAGACTGCTCCGCCTCCTGATGTCCCTTACTATAATAATTTCCCTGGAAAACAGCCTCCCCCTGGTGGACTGATTGACATGAGGACCCGCCCAGGGGCCACGCTGGTGAGACAAGTGCACATAAATACAACAGGAGGATGAAACATACTCATACACACGTTTCAACACATCCAAACACTGGCAGCACTGCAATTAAGAGATGATACACTTTTAAGGAATCTACTGACTATACAGTATGTGTCAGAAATGTGTCATTTTGAGTAAAAAGGCAACTGTAACCCTGCTCTGTTTGATATACACAAATCAATATTGACCTTGGTAACCCTTTGAGTTGGCCATAGAATGAATTTATTTCAGTAGGTCCACATGGTGCAGTGACTCATGATTTGTTTTTGTGCCTCTGTGTTTGCAGCCTTATGGACAGCCAGGTCAGAATGACATTCACAAGCAGCCTCTGCCGCCTCTACCAGGTGAGATCTGTCTCTGCCAGTCTGTCTGCGTCTCTCTCGCTCTGTCTGTCATTCAAGCTGAGGCTGAGAGGGAATGACTCAGGCTATCATTCAGGCACAAAATAGAGAGATTAAACAACAATTTTTCCTCGCCTCTCTTGGATAACTAGTTATTTCCCTCAGTATGGAACACTGCTCATTCATAATGGCTATTCGTCAAATTTGTATATAGGACTGCTTGTGGTCAGTGCCACAACTCAAAAATGGTGGGTATTTTGACTGCATTTGTCTAAACCCACAGATTATCCCTAACTGAGAAATCAGTCACACTTTTTCTCCATATTCTTGTCTTTGTTGTTTTTGTCTTGTAACGGCTGGTTACCATGCCATTCAGTACGAATAGCTAATATGAGACATGGGAAGTGCCAGGATTATTTATTATTTTCTGTTTTGAAGTGGGTGCCAAAGAGGGGGGACGGGAACTGTTCGATGACCCTTCATACGTCAATGTGGATAAACCCCGCCCCCCAGTTGCAGCAAATGGAAACGCTCACAGAGACGCTTTTGACATGAGTAAGTGTCTTACCTGGTTTATCTTCTTGCTTGCTTCTGTGTTAATGCGTTGTTGGGAATATCATCTCAGTTTGACAAATCCAGCTGAAATCTTATCTTAAAAAAAAAAAAAAGAAGTGCAAATGACTGAGTCGCTTGCTGGGAATCTATGTAGTGAAAGACGATTTCCTGTAAATGACTAAATGTGACTGTTGTAATCAAAGTGACCAAAATTGCTGGTAACTAAAATGTGCAATTACCTGACCATGAGGCAAGCATAAGGGTTAATCATTGACTAAGGAGATGAGCAGAATAGTGTGTACTTTACATTCCATATGACGGGCTAATTGAGGAGTGGAGTTGCCCACAGAAGGCAGCCTTGGAGGGAGATAAGGGAATTAGAGTGCCTTTGTCCATTACAGGGGCATTTTATGGAACATGATTGGTTGACTGGGTAAAGCTTTTCACATTAAAGACACAGTACATTATCAGTGTACAGTATAGCACACATCTGTCAGAGACCATGTGGTTTACTAGGACATGGTCCAATCATTTTTGTTCTAAATAGAAATGCAGACCATAGTAAAAGCAAAAAATGCATTTGAGAGTTACATCAGAGAAATACAATATTACAAATGTGTATCTGGATTTTTTTAAGAGCCATTTGATGATGCCCTGGGGGTCTCTGGGCACGGTGGCCCAAGCTCAGTGACAGCAGCGCCTCCTCTGGTGCAGCAGTTGCAGTGTGAGGCCTGGTTCCATGGTAGCTTAAGTCGCAGGGAAGCAGAGAGGTTGCTGACCCGCGATGGTGACTTCCTGGTGCGGGAGTCTGGGACCACGCCCGGACAGTACGTCCTCACAGGACAGCAGGGGGGTCAGCCCAAACACCTGCTACTAGTCGACCCAGAAGGAGTGGTGAGTCAGGGTGGGAGGAAGAGATCACAAGGGCAAAGGGGAGGGAGAAGAGTGAATCGGCAAGGGACATTTTTATTTAGTGTTTTACTAACACATGATTATATTGGTGTGTGGTTGAACTTGTCATTGATATATATTTTCATCTTCTAGGTCCGTACAAAAGACCATCGGTTTGAAAGTGTGAGTCACTTGATCAGTTACCACATGGACAACAGGCTCCCCATCGTATCAGCTGGAAGCGAAGTGTGTCTGCAACAGCCAGTTGAGCGCAGGGCCTGACGTTCCACAGACCAATGAAATACTCCACCAAATATACACACACTCCCACTGCAAATCAACACAAGACATCATATGCTATAACACACACAGCAACACTACACTCAACACACTCAAACATACACAACAGTACATATGCACACACACAAAGCAAAGAAAGCCAAAAAAAAAGAAAAAAAAATCACCAGTTTTTCTGCAGAATCACTTAATTGCTGCTGTTGCCACATGTTCCTGTCCTTTCTGAAAGCCAAACTGTGATATGCAGTCCCTCCTCGACCCCAACGACTATCAGGCGCATCCCTCCACAACGGAGAAGTACTGCTGCAATTTCTCAACAGCCTACTGTGAACCAGGGAGGAACCCTTTCCTTATTTCAGAACGGGGCAGAAAACAAATGCAATTTTTTTTTAAAGAAAAAAAATCTTAACATTCGATTATGAAAAACAAAAAAACAGAACACTTTACTAATACAAGGAATTGTGTACAAAAAAATAATGGAACTGAAGAGTGAAGAAAGGAACATAAATGGGACATGGAATCGGATTTTCTGTGCTTTTAAGCATGTGTTCTTTCATTCAGGGGAAATGATTTCCCTCCTCAGACTGTCGCTGGAGCGTATTAAGCAAAACGCAAACTGGATGGTAATGGTTTTTTGTTGTAGAGACTGAACCCGGCTCAAACACAAACACTCCCTTCGGGTGTCACTTGAGCACTTCAGCAGCAAACAAGACTTTGACATAATTCTGCGTGGTGAATATGCATAAACGAGTTTGCTTCCAATCTAATCAGGAGTGTCACCTTACCCCCACCTACTCCCCTATGAAAGACTTTTGAACTTTGACCCCTGGAGTGATAAAGAACGCCTGTATGCAAAACTGGGACTGCTATGCCAATGACCATCATATATGTTGTTTTTTTTTTTCCATCTGATATCTTGGGACTCATTAGTGATTGGACATTAGGAGTTCAGGAGGATCTAAGCGGCTGTTTGGCCCTAATCCCTCTAAAAAGACAGATACACATTCACCTTTACTCCACACACAGGCTGCACCACCTGTCATGCCAAAGAACATGAACTTGGTTGCTAACAGCAGAGGAAGCCATGATAATTATCAACAGTTATTTATCTTGTGTGCTTACAGCAGTGGGAACTTATTGAGAAAGACATGCACATAAAAATAAGCCTGTTTTAGATTGAAGAAGAATCTGGATTGTGCCTGAATACATCATCAAAAAGGCAATTTTTTTTAAAAATTTTTTTATTTTATTAAAGTGCATTGATGTCACCCACAAACACAATAACTACTACATTTTGAGAATTATAGACCAGATCATTTTGACCTATTGCTTTTCTGCTGACACCTTAGTATGTGTTTGCATTGACAATCTATGGGTTATATCTTTACAGAGTATTCTGTGAAGAAAACGGAAAGCAGAGGAGAGTTGTTTGAGGAGACCCCTTTAAACAGTGGCCAATCATGTGTTGTAATGTTGAGCAGTCTAAGCAATGAATTTCCCTCTGCAAAAATGATGCACAGTGTGTCATAGTAACCGCTTTGGTAATTTTTGTGTATTGTGATGTTGCTTTACTTTATAATCACTTGAGGGAATCATTTTTAAAACCTTGTATATCAAATGAAGTGGGTCTGGGGTAACTGAACATGAGGACATACATGCTTTTGGAGCATTGCTAACGAGGAAATGTTAAGCCAAATGCTGCTCCTCAGTGTGCTGTTTTCATATACTGTCAAGGATCTGGAGGGAGAAGTTCACACTATAGTTTTCTCCTTTCCTCTTCCTCCTCCCTCAATCCATGGTGTTGTTTTTTATATCTTTTTAATCGTGCCTTGTTTCTTCAATGCAGTCACGTCACTTCAATGCAGTCACCTTATGTACTTAATTCTAATGTAGTCGACTACAGGAGAATCTTACACAAGCCTCTCAGTTAAACAACAAAGACTCTGCAAAAATGACACTCCAGTAAACACACACAAACAGATCCAGTGATGGCAATCTCCTCTGATGCACATTCTTGCATTCAGCTTATAGTCACAGATACTTGATGTCACCATAGGGGGGAGGGGGGGGATTTCCTGAGCATCTGTAAATAACATCAGTTTTTTGACTGTTCAGCTTAGTATCAGATTATTGTTTCCATAGTTGTATATTTAAAAACTTATTTAATAAGTAACACCGAGCCAGACACCACAGCACTGAGGTAGCTCTTAAAGCCAACTGAACTTGTCAAAGAGATTGTGGCCAAACTCCTGAAATACGAGAGGGGATCTTTCAACTTAAACCTTAACTGTCAACTAGTCCTCATACCCTGTAGTGGGCTCACATGTAATCTAACATGCACACGCATACCAGAGTGACAGCTGGGTCAGTCAGACACTCACACTCTGCCTGTTTGGCTGTTTGTGGGTTAGAGATAGGAAAATCAAAAGCTTGAAGTCCTGCTATTGCTGTGTGCGCCTCTTATAAGTGTGCGTGCATGTGTGTATGTGTGTGTGTGCTGGAACAGACCCACCTGACCCTCTGCATCATTAGTGACCTCGTCCCGTGTTAACATCGTTCATCACAGTTGCCTTTGTTGCATGAAAATCCTTTCAAATTTTTCTCTTGTTTGTTGTTGGTGATGGTGATAGTGTTGATGATGCTGTTGTACTTTTTCATTTGTGTTTTTTGAAAGCCAAAGGTTACTTTCAGATAGTGTGCACAGATATTGATTTTTACTTTATATATTTCTGTTTTAATACTTTTTTTGTTTTTAGGGAAACATGTCTGTTTACACCTGTATCTGAAAATATAGATTGCATATATAAATACATATATCATTCATCTCTCTTTGTGAGTTTGCCTTTTGATATAATTGTGCATTTCACCTGAATATTTATCACCTAGTTTGGTAGGCTTTTTAGAGATCCCTTTATTTTCTCTATCAAAGTACACAAAAAAAAAACTGATGGAAAATTAAACAACACAGCACACACCGCTAGAAGATATGATCACCTGTCACAGACTGTTCTGAACAAAGAATGAGATGTAGTGCAGGGGTATATTGGAGCTACTGGAACTCTCCTGTTTGTGAACAGATGAGGCTGTAACAGAAGGGGGCTGATTCAGGGATTGTTAGAGCTCAGAGAGAGTCGGTGTGGGGGGTAGTATACAAAAGAGGGGAGCAGTGCACAGCAAAGGTAAACAAGGCCTTTAATCAATCAGTGAATGTTTGAAAGCAGGGAAGAGTCTAGAAAACTCAGGATGTGAAAGGAGGTGACCTGCAGTTCATATAGGAGGTTATAAGTAGAGGAGCTAACTGTGCCAGGAATACGGAGCAGACCTCAGCTGTTGCACGAGCCCGGTCCAATCCCATTTGTCAGAGCTCTCCTCCTGTTCTCATCGACTGCCCTCCTTCTTGCCTCCGCCTGATCACTCCCTTTCCTCACCGGAGCAATGCATCCCCAGCGTCCTCTTCCCCAAGCCATGCCTTCCTCCTCTCTGGGACAGCACCTGCGGGACATGGCCATGGGTTTGGGACGAGGCAAAAACTTCTTGGGAGGAAACTTTGCCTACAGTTTCATCCAGTCAGTTAAGGAGTGCCTTTATTTCCTTCTCTGCTGCTGGTGCATCAAAGAGATCCTGGACTGACAGACTGAGTGAGAGTAGCTCAAGTGGTCATTGATTTTCCCTGTTTCTCCGTTGGCTCCTATAGTGTAATTTCAACCAGCTTTTGTTTCATCAGAAATGGAGTGTTTGATCAGTGGTGCTGGCAAAGCATTGGCAAGTATGAGTCTTGTCTCATATGACAACAATTTACCACTTCAGTAGCCTACATAGTGAATCAAAATCTCTCTAATGTATATAATGCAATTACCTACAAAAGAAGAGGCTCTCGATTTTAGAAAATGTCAATTTCATTGAGGAGTAGGTTTACTAAATCATAAAACTGTTTAATGCACTTACACACAGATAATGTTTTTATTTCTGTTTTTTCAGGGTCTATGAGATGCTCCTCTTGGGTTTTCAGGAAGCACACTGGCACATTTCCAGATGCTACAAATGTTCATAGTTTTCTGAATTCAACCCTGTTGTTCTGAGATCTTGAGGAATGGCACCCCTGATGTTCACTGTACAAGACAAACTGGTGTGGCAATAAATAAAGGAACTAATGAATAGAAAAATATTACCTTTATGTCTGAATTTTTGTTCATTTTTTTTTAAATTAATTTGATAGTTAACATATACTGTTCAGCTAAAAAAAAAAGAGTAAAAATCATATGGTTTACGTGTCACACATGTACTCTGGTAGTTTGTATGTGCCTTCACTGAGATTTTATGTCTTGTAATTATTCAGTTTGACAGTTTGCAAAGTTGCGTCCAATTCATGATTTATGTATTTCACAAATATAGGATACATTTCACAGGCTGTTTTACATTGGAAAGGAAGATACTGCGACCTAAAATATCAACCTGGAATAGACCTGAGCTTGTGGACCAACAGTGGTTGATGCTGAGGACTGGGGGTGTTTGAAAAAAACATTTATCACCTGCATGTGTCAATCAACTTGGAAGCTTTCCCTGAGAAGTATAGCGACGCCGCATTACTATTGGTCGAACTGGATGGCAAGGGGCGGGATCAAGGAAAATACTGCCCGTGATTGGACGAGACGCGTGTGGATCATGCAAGTTCAGGAGGCATGTTCTAAGTTCCCAAGTTGGATGCGAAGACTCACAAGTGTGCCGTGTGTGTGACAGACTCTGGGGTCTGAAGTAAAGCGACCGTCCACGGTAAGAACCACCTGAATTTGGACGTAACTAACATTTACTTTTATTGCAAATAACAACGTCTGTTCTGTTGTTTTTTTTTTCTTCCATTGCGTCGCCAACGTCGTTTCACTCACCTTTTCCTGGTTGCTCGATTGACTTGTGACAGAGAAAGTTTTAGTTTAGGCTTTTAATGGCTAGTGCTAACAATTGTCGTGTAAGTTGAAACCTTAAGCAAATTATCTTGCTAACACCGGCCATTAGCACGTTTAAGAAGTGACTTTTCATTGTTTAATGTGGCCTTAAGTTTTTTTTCCCTGAGCCCTTCGCTGTGGGGCATTTCCTGTCACAGGCGTCAATATTTGTCTGTAAACAAAATATTTTGATAAACTGCGTTGTTGGTGATGCTGTGTGTGAACTGCTGTGAACAAGCTGGTTATGGTTCCTCCACTGACAGCTTAGCATTGCTGTCCTAATGGCCTGTCCTGTGGTTTATTCTCTTGACCTTTTTTGGTGTTTTTTCCCTGCTGAGAGAAGATGATCAGATTAGGCCTGCAGCTGTAACTATATCTTTGGCTGTATTTTGCTCAAGAAAGAAAAAAATGCATGGATTTATATATTTCCTTATGCAATTACTTTGAAGATATCAGGCAGGGTGTCAAGTGTCTGTAAACATACAAAGTTTTAACCCATCCTCCCAAAGCTACGGCTATGTAGGTTAGATTAGTTGGTGCTCATGAAGATCAAATAGTAGTAAAGTAGTAAAAGGCAGTGAAAATTATCTTTTGCTGTTAAAAGCCGTTAGCATTGTGGTGCGTTTAAAATAATCCTTTTAAAACTGTCCTTAGAAAACATTACTGCCTCTGTTGTGTTCCCCATGGCCATCTTCTGCATGCTCCCTCTTCCTGTCTCTGCTCAATCTCTTGGTAGCTATATTTAGCTGGTGTCTATTTAAGCCATTCCACTATATGCTCCACAATGCTCCTTGGGCCCTAGGCTAGATTCAGTAGACTTCTCTTGGGAGGCACTCGATTAGGAGACCTAAATTGCGGAGCTGGGAGAGAATTGAATTTGGGGAGCGAAGTGTGTCATTACCTAGACAATGTGGTGTTAACCAAAGTGGTTCATTCTCTTTGCGTTCACTGATGAAAGCCAGACTAGACTTAATAAATATGCATATCTGTTTCATCATCCTCTGCTGTTTGAAAGCAAGGGCTTTATAAAGATCTAATACCTGACACTTGCATCTGACCAGGTGGTAAAATGGAAATGTCCACCAGTGTTTAAGAAGTTTTGTTGTTCAGACACATTACTACAGAGGTAGACAAGAGGAAAATGCTTCCACCAAGTCTTTATCTTACTGTAAAACTTGTAATTCTTATGCAGTGTACAAATATACAGTATACAGTTGAAATTTGGCAGTTTGTAGACATCTATTCAACAGACCAGTAGCTTTGAAATGGACAGCCTGTATTTCCAATAATGCCGGCCTTAGTTACCCATGTCTCTGCCAAAACATTTCCCCACAAACCCTAAAGCCAGGGTGATCAAAAGGCCCACAACACACACAAACTACTAATGAAGAACTGAATGGTCCCGGGGAGTGGGACTTCCTGCACACATACACACGCATGCACACACATGCACACTGACAGCAATGTGTTAACACCACCTTACAGTAGGTCCTTTATTGGCAGAATGGGTGAGGCTGAATAGCAAAGTCATATATTCAAATCCCGTGCATGTGTACACAAAGGATGTAAATTTCTTAAAGCTGCAGTACTCACACTGTCACCCTAATTGTGCAGTAGTGGCAGGCCTCTGAACAACACACCGGCTCTCTTGGGGTTGTTAGCTGTCGCTTCCCTAAGTTTGATTCAGAGGGTATAAAGGCACAGAGGAGTGGGGCCTTGATTTGGTTTTGTCTCTGTGAACTAAACCACTATTAATCATGTAATTGTTCTGTATGTTCTTCTTGTGTTGCAGGAGACAGGCAAAGCCTCTAGGGGGCCATGTCTGGCGGCAGCAGTGCTAACAACAGCTGGACCATCCTCACTCCTGAGGTATCACCACACTGTAAAGAGCATAGGAAAACGACCTCAATGAAATTGCATTATTTTAAAAAAAGAAAACTCCTTGTCCCAATTGATTTTCTTATAGGTCACCTGAATATGAAGTAGGTTTCTTTAATAAGACTGTCTGTGTTTCTTGCCTTTTTCCAGATTTAACTGTTATTCAGAAAGTTAAACTGGCTTTTTGAAGCACACACCCATGCACATGTATACACATACTGCCTTGCTCAATGGCACTTTGGCAGTAGCTATTATTTAAGAGAGTTATGCGCATCACTTCTGCTGCTCAGAAACAATCAAAAGATTGTAGATTGAAGACTGAATGTTCCGATTATCTCGTCTGTCTGTTTGCGTCCTTTGACTGTCTGGTGCTTTTCTGTTTGTCCCAGGAGACTGTCGCTGAAACCCTGAGGCCTTTGGCAGAGGGAACAGAGCACCATGAAGACAGCCATACATCTGCAGCAGGTGTTTGTCAGAATAAAGTTGAGGATTGTGGGATCATTAATGGCACAGGAAAATGTACAGCTTTGTCAAATAAAGCAGAGAAGTAAAAGCAAAGTGGAAAACAATGTACAACATCACCACTTCTCATCATTCTGCATATGCACACGGGTGTCCCAAGTCAGAATGGCTTCATTTCAAAAAATGTTGCTATAAAAGGTTCATCTCTTTGTCTCCTGTGTCTGTGTTTGATGAGCCAGGCTCTGGAGCAAACCAGCCTGCAGAGGGTGAAGCATCTGCAGAGGGGTCCCCTGTGGAGGCGCACCTGGTAAGACAGCAAAACGCATCTTTTTCTATCATGTAGTATTTGTTACACAACCTAGCTATGATTGGCCAACAAAAGTGTTCTGATGTTTTTTATTTTGTGACTATACCACACTTTGGGTGAATACATTCACCCATATACTCATAGGATAATCACTACATTAAAACTGCTTGTACCATAGCTCCCAGGAGTACTTAAATGTGATTGGCCAGAGCTTATGTAGCCACATTATCACCCCTCTAACAAAATATTTATACCTGGAAGATGACTCACTTCAGCTGTTACCAGGCTACAGCTTCTTGATGGAGTTATAAAAGAATGATCTCTGTTAACTTTCCAGTGCCAACACAAAGTTTCTATTTAAAGAAATTTAGAAAACAAGAGAGAGCTCTTATTTAATCATTTAGCAAGGGCTTTATGAAAGACTGGTGCACAAAATGCAGAACCTCACAGACCTAGTTCATATATGTTTTGTAAAGTTAAAGGAATAGTTCAACATATTGTGAAATGCACTTATTGACTTTCTGACAGAGAGGTAGATGAGAATAGATGAGAATATCAAGACCACTCTCATGTAAAACTACTCTCTATGTAGTTTGCATAGCTTAGCATAAAGACTGGAAACAGCTGGCCTGGTTCAGCTTTATATTTACACTACAGTAGTATTAACATATCACATCCAACTTTCTGCCCGAAAGTGAATGACCATATTTCCCAAAATGTTGAACTTTTGTTTTTGGATTATGTGCTTTGCTTGAGTTTAAACCAAAAATGCTAGAATATAGGGTGCCCTAAAACCTTTGAGTGACAGTGTTATACTCTAAGGGATTTTAATGACCTGATTCTAGGTATCAGAAGAAAAACCAGCAGAGCTAAGTGGAGGCACAAGCACTGAGCAGCACACCTCCGTGCCCACCGCCATCACTGATGCCCCTGTTCCCACTTCTTTGGAAGTCTCCAGCAGCTTAGTTCCTGGCAGTGATGCACTCAGCCAGTCAGAGGGCCTACCCCAGGGGCCGGCACAGTCCAGCCCTGACCCCGATTCATTCTCTGACTCCTACTCCCACATAACCCCCTCCCCTGATGAGCCCCCAGCGTCATTGCTGAGCACAGAGACTCTGGGAGGGATGGAGTTTACGCAAGAGGAAGAGAGGCTTGCACAGGAAGGAACACTGCATCCATTAAATGGGGAGGAGCTACATCAGGAAGAGGATGAGACAGACCTGTCTCCAAGGACGACTGATTTAGGGAAACAGGCAGGTATGAACAGCAACACTCTGGTCATTATTATATTAATATTATAACCTTAGCACCAGTTTTTGTTATGTATATGCTGTTAAACATGACAAAGATCGTCACGTGGTATGCCTGTATCCTCCCCTTTCTTTTTTTGGAGACTAAGCCATATGTACTATTTGTGTTTGAAGTGTACTTGGTGGACCAGCTGGTTATGGACTTGTTCAGTATCTGGGCCAGGAAGTTGTCTGGAGAGGCTGTGGTTGGTATGAGGAAGGGAGCATGATGTGACAGAGAAACTCTTATTTGCATGACACCCTGCAGAAGTAAATTGGCTTCAGAGGGACTGGGACCTCTAAAGTTTTTTGCAGTGTGGCGTTTTTGTCTGCAGCTCTTTGTCTCACTACAGCATTACAAAAATCAGTCTTCTTTTGCTCTGTTGTGCATTCTCTTATACATTATTTGTTTAGCAACTAGAGTTCAGTGTCAGTGAGCGAATCTTTGCGGTACTTGTTTATAGCACCATCGCTCTTTAACAATAAAATGGGATGCAGATAGTTTGGAAAGTTTAAAGACTGTTGTTTCAAGGTGCCAGAAGTTCCAAAATGAAGTGTTTGAATCACTTTATGCAGTTTAATGGAAAATAAGGAATGGCAATGGAGCAAATTAACCAGTGTGCCATGCATAGCAGAGCCAATAAAGAAGCAAGTCTTACCTCCCATGAGGAGTTTTGTCCTATACTTCAGGATCAGACCAGTTACAGCACCATACCTGCTGTGCAATGTAATATCAGCTCTCTGTGCAAGAGCAAATTTGTGCCCAACAATGTGCAACAGCTTTGCTTTAAAAAAAAAAAAAAAATGTCAGAAAATAAAACTGTCTAATGGATACCCACAAAGTAAATGATCCGCTGTTTTCACCGTTTATGCCTTGGGGAAAACCGTAAAGCAAGGTAATTGTCAAGATATACTTCAAAAACAGCTCTTCATACTCTTTCCTATACTGCTTAAGATTCCCCTGTGGATTCAGAGGTGGGTGAGGAGAGGGCTGAGAGGACGGAGGAGGAAGGAGAGTCAGAGGTGAGGAGGAGGTCTCTCTTAGCAGCTCTGGAACGGATCGGGAGGGCAGAGGAGGAAGAGGAAGGAGAGGAAGAGTTTCAGCTGCCACAGCGAGAGGAAGACAGCGGGTTCTCTGTGAACAAGTGCATCCTTGGTGCTGTCATTCTGCTAGGCCTCGGCACCATCTTTTTCTCAGGTAGGCATCCCTTCCCAATTCCCATGTTATTTTAGATGGATTTTTTTAAGTTGTTAAAGTAAGGTTTGATAGAGGAAAGTGGTGCTAACAGTGGATTAGATAAAGGGTACTTTGAGACTGAGGTGTGTTATACCTGCAGGTGTCTTCATGGACCTGGATGAGGGTAGGTTTGTGGGTGCATGAGTGAGTGACTGAGTTCTTTCTTGCAGCATGTGTTTGTATGTGTGAATGTGCATGCAGGAAAAAAAAAAAGTTTTGCATCTGACACTTTTTAAAAGTAAGCCTTCAAAGCTCTGCATGCTTTTGAGGGAGAGAGTGATTTAGGCACCTTTGCATGATTTGGTTCATTTTTTTAGGCTTATTTGCTGTTGGTAAATGAAAACTTTGTACCACATCAGCACAATGTGTCCATGTCTTTTCTAGTTAAGTTTTAGGTTTTTATGATTTTTTTCTTAGCATGAACAGTGTAAAATGTTGCAGGAACATTGAAGATGAGGCAAAAGTTGGTACAGAAAATTAGCTAAATTGGAAATACAAGGTTTTCAGCCAGCAATTAATACATTGTTCCTAATCTTTCCTTTGGAAATGATGCAGTATGTATGCCTTTACTCAGCTCAGCAACACACATTTTATTGCCTTGGTTTTTTGTTTGGGTGGGTGTCACTTTTTTCAGTAATAAGCAACAGAGTGTATCTTCTGCTTGTGTTCTTTGACTGAGTATTATGAATATCGAAATAAAGCTTTGCATAATGATTTGCAGAGAGTGATTATGGTACCAGGGAACTGAAAGATTCAGAGGTTCCAGGAAAACAGGTCAGTCTGACATCAATTTTTCACTTCTTTTCTCTCCGTCTACTCTGTCTAACTTTCACTCATTATGCCATTTTGTGTATAAGGACAATGAGCACCGCAGCATGAAGGTTTAGTGTGATATGCTCAGTAGGAGACCACCCACAACGCTGGCAGCATTACTGCTATTGTCTACCAACTGTGTTTCTCTGGACTTTTGTTCTTTCCAATTTCATCAACACATACTGTTCTCTCATTTCCTGACTACTTTGTCTGGCAATAATGATTCTGAAAAGTCCTCTAAAGCCTTGCCATTGTGTTGTACTGCGTGTATAATTTGTTGACAGGAGTGGCTTAATCCGGAGGTTCCTCCACCCCCAGTAGATGCTGACAGTACAGAGCTTCTAAATAAGTTAGCCAAAGGGAACCAGCATATTTCTGTGCTACAAGCCCAACTTCAGGTGCGACTCCATTCTGTCTCTCACTTTATTCCTCCTCTATATGTGTGTGCAGAATACATAAACTATGTATATGAGTGTGCATTTAAAGGTGTCACTGAGCGTGTAATATTCTCACCGGGCCCTCTTTTCCTGTTCTTTTTCTTTAAACAGGCACAGGGAGAAGAGCTAAAAGTAGCCAAGGGACAGGCAGCAGAGGGAGCAAAGGAGCGGCTGCGGTGGGAGGAGGTGGAGAAGGAAAACAGTAGGTTGAAGACAGAGATGGCATCTCTCCCTGTTCTTCAGACAGAGAATGAGAGGATGAAGAGAGAGCTGGAGTCTGTCCCGGCCCTACAGAAAGAACTAGACACACTGAGATCGACTGTGACTGAATTAAAACGCTCCTCAGGTACAAAGGGACAGAGGGAGGAGGTAGGGAGGGGACGTGACGAAGGGTAGAGGATGTAGTAGGATGATAGTTATTAGAAAACAAGGGAAAGTGTAGGACATTTCTTCCTTTACTCTTCTTCTGTTTTCTCACTTGACTGCTCACTGTTCATCTTTGTAGTTGTAACAACTACTTGTGTTTCCTTCAGCAGCCAGTGAAGCAGTTCAAGCGCCTGTGAAGCCCACTCCATCGCCCCCCAGTGGCCAACCAGAGGACAGCAGGCAGGACACAGCTGGAACTGTAGAAACACAGGCCAGGAAACCATGGGATGACCAGAAGGAGAAGAAGACAGATTGGAAGAAGGAAAAACATGACATTGGTGAAAACAAGGGGTGGAAAGAGAGAGAAAAAACTGAACGAAAGGAAGGAGAGAAAAAAGAGCGCAAAGATGGAGGTAAAACAGAATGGAAAAAGGGAAAACATGAGCAAGGAAAATTTGACAAAGAGAAAGATAAGGTAGATAAGCAGAAGAGGCACAGTGATGAGACAAAACAATTGAAGGAGAAAGAGTGGAAGAAAGAAGTGGGGAGCAGAGGTGATGAAGGAAAGCCATGGAAGGCTAGGGAAGGGAAGAAAGAACAGATAGAAAAGAGTGAGAGAAAAGATAGGAAGGAAGAGAAAGATTGGAAAAAGGCAAAGCATGAGAAAGTAAATGAGGGTAAACAATGGAAAGGTAAGGAGGAGAAGAAGGATTGGAAGGGAGGAAAGGACCGTGAAGAGAAGCACAAGGGGAAACGCGAGTGGAAGGGAGAGAAGGAGTGGAGGAAAGTGAAAGACGGCTTCAAGGGAAGTGGCAATGAGAAATGGGAGAAGAAAGATTGGAAAGAGAAAGGAGAGAGGAAGGAGTGGAGAGGTAAAAATGGCAAAGATGAGGGTAAAGATCGGAAAGGAAAGGGTGAAAGGAAACAGTGGGACGAGAGCGAAAATCACGGCAAGAATTATGGTAAAGACAGGAAAGGGAAGGATGAGAGGAAACACTGGAACGAGAATGAGTGGAAGAGTAAAAATGGTAAAGGTGATAAGGAATGGAAGAGGAAGAATGAGAGGAAACAGTGGAACGAAAATGAGAGGAAGAGTAAAAATGGTAAAGGTGATAAGGAATGGAAGAAAGGGGATGAGACGAAACAGTGGGAAAGGAAAGAGGATGAGTGGAAGAGAGGACAGAAAGAGAAAAAGCACAACGGAGATTGGAAAAGGGACAGATCAAGCGCTGAAAAACACAAAGATGAGCACAAATTTTCCGGTAATCACAATAATGACCACCATGAAAAGCATGAGTGGGGAGATAGGAAAGCCCCTCACACACATCGCAGACCCTCCATGGAACAGCCTGAGTACTGGGTCCAGCAGAGAGACCGGCTCCAGCACAACCCCAAACCACCACAGCACTGTAACTCATTGGAGACCTGCGCTCAGGCCGAGGGGCTGCTTCCTGTCCCCTTCCCTGAGTTTGAGGCCATCCTCCGCGCTTACCTAGCCAAAGCAGAGGAGGTTGGAGTGGATGCTTCCAAAACAGAGGAGCTCAAAAAGCTAGCTGCCAACTTCTTCAAGGATGGGGTCTTTGTTCATGACCAGATGAGCTTTCAAGATTTTGCGGAGGATGTGGGAGATATTCTGGAAGATATGGTGGAAGGGGATGAGAACGGGGAGGAGGAGGAGGATGAGGAGGATAGCGCCATAGAGCAAGAAATGGAGGAGTTTGAAAGAGAAGTCATGAAAAAGTTTTCAGTGCCAGGAGCGGGAGAGAAAGAGGAGAAAATCAAAGGGGAGTGGAGGAAGGAGAGCGGACGAGGACGTGGCTGACGTGAAAAAAATTGATGGATCTGTCGAAAGTAGCTGAGAGGAGTCATGACAGATGAGGGGTTATTCAAAGGGAACACTTGCTATTGGACCACAAATGCTTACAAGTATACATTAATCCTCCTGTCATCCTTTTTTTTTTCTTTCTTTTTTTTTTTTATTTTATTTTATACAGGATCTTATTTTACGATTGCCGTCTGCTGTCCCGGTGATACAACTTATAATTTCATTTCACTGTTTTGGGGAAGTTTTGTATTTCACCTGCACACATGCTCACATCTTAGTACACAGTGGTGTAGAGAAAGGGCTTGCATCTAAATCAGACTATAGGGTTTATTTGGGTGGATGTACAAGAGAAGAAGACTGCACTTAAGCTTCAGTGTTTTCCCTGTAATGTAATGACACTAGTTAAGCATAATGCCTACAGTAGCTACTCCTTGTGTCCATAGAAAACTCTCCAAAACGTCCAGCTTCATATATCTGACTGAGCACCTGCAGCTCATGTTGAACATCCACTGGTGTGAAAGTTAGTTCTGTAGATACTGTAACTTCCTCTCTTTGCATAGGGAGATTAAAGCTGTTAGACTGAGTTGGATGTTACTCTGCTTTGACTCTCATCTCTAGAATAACCACTGTACAGTCTCAGTCACACATGACACCTCTTCCATTGCAAACAGCACTGTGCACTGTTGGAAGTCCACCTATTCACTGATCAGGCCTGTACCTACAGTATGTCATCTTAATGGAGTAATTACTTAAGCCTGACTTTTAATGTCAAATTACCTTCAAAACATAAACAGTTTTTTATGAAGGGTGGAGTGAACGTGAACTGCTGAAATGGTTTAGTGAATATTTTATGTGAAACTATAGAAATCTGCATTGGTTTTGTTTTGAATGTTTGTACATATTGCATTAAACGTGTTTAAGAACTATGCTGAAATATATAGCTAAATTATTTTATAGAAGTTGGCATAATATAGGCAGAAAACAATTGGCGGGCACATAAAATATTGACATGTTGAACATGTGTTCCTTTTCAGGTACAGAACTTGTATTGTGCACTAAAATGTCCTTAATTGTTTTATTATGAATGTAACATTTGTTTTTATTGGTTAAGTTGGTCACTTAGCACTTAGGTCATGGGAAATAGTTTTCAGAAATAGCAGTAATAGGTTCTTTTTTTATTTCTTTAAACGCTAACTTGTGAAATGTTGCTAATTCAAGGACCTACAGCCGAATACTGATTGTCTTTCAGAGGGTAACAATGCTGCATATAGACCTTCGTATGTTGGGATGCTCATATTTGGCCATTTTATTGTTATAAGAGCAGAATAATAAATTTGGTGCATCCATGTGATGAAAAAAAATGTATTTTGTCATTTTTGCTCACTTGTGAAATAATTTAAACAGTTACCTGCAAGCAAATGCTATTGGATTTTATGAGTTCTGATGATTCTGCAGTGTTGGAAAGACTGAGATTTCTTTTTATTTTATTTAATGTTAATTATAATTTTATGGTTATTTGATCAATTGTCTTACAGTTTCTGTTGAGAGTCAGTGGGGGCTTTACTTGTTTGCTGACAGATTAATACAACATGAGTGTCCTCCTCTTCATGGACCATGGATTGCCTTTGCCAGATTTATGTCTTTGTGCTCAGGGATACTTTTTTATTGTCCCTTCCCTTTAGATTCTTTGCATCTGGATGTGTGGAGCAACAACTTGGCTGATGTCAGCAGAAGAAAAGAGAGGGTGAGATTGACTATGATGTCATACAGTCACTGTCTGTCTGTTTTGTCAGTCAATAATTGTGCCTGTTCGAGACCAGAAACTATAGTTCCGAGCTGGAGAGATAAAGACTTTTTTTTTTTTTTTTTTACATTAATACTGTAGACCAGTACAGATAATAATACTGTAAAATTGCTGTACTGTGGCTTCAGTGGTAATATCACACAGACAAACAAAAACACACAGCTATGTGCTCATCCATATCCTGCTGCCTCTGTGTAAACCAAAGTTTCATGCAGAGTTGTGTTCCCTAACGTACACTTCTTTGTAATGAATAACTACATAATAAAGTCTGTGAAAGGAGACGCAGTAAATCAGTCCAGTGGCACACCTATAAGACCGTATGACTTTAAGGAACTCTGAGTTTCCCCCACACTGATTTCATTTTTGAACAAAACTTTTTTTAAAGCACAGGATGCTTCTACTCTCTGGGCCCAAAACTGGATGAGTGGGTACAACAGGCAATCAAGAAATCCGAGACGTATAAATGATGTTTTGAAACATAGGCAAACAAGCCCTTAGACACAAATACAACTAGAGCTAAGCATCAATCATAAGAACAACTTGCAGCATCACCCCATGGAAAACCCTGATGCTTCTACACTGCTGTGTATTGTGCTGTGACTTCTCAGTTGTCTCTGTAAGACATTTATTTTGTTAGTAGCTGCACTCTCCTTTCTGCAATGATGGCCAAGGGAATGGAAGGAGGAGTAGTGTAGACTGCAGTTTCAGGTGTATGGGGATATACGGGTGTGTGTGTATCTGTGTTTGTGTCATACAGCTGAGACAAGAAAACAATGTGTGGGTATATTTGGCCGATAAAGCTATTGTGCTTGTTAGCACTAACTGCCTCCCTAATATGCCAGTTGTGCACATCCTGTCCGAGGTCTGGCTTAAATAATGTGACTCTTCTGAGGTGAAACCCAAGTGCCTCGTTCTCAAAAGTTTCTGCAACACAGGCTGTATAATTATACCTGATTTACTGCTTTCTTTTTGCTCTCTACAGCAGTCTCACCCACAGTTGCACACACATACACAAGAATGGAAAAATGTTAGACTACTGTCCATGCATCAGCATGAACTGAGCAAAACATTAAACTGTTAGTGCACACACATTGTGATATGTTTAAACTGACCTAACTTGGATTGCCACTCTGAGTTAGTTTGGGGTTTTCTTGAATGAGGTGATTCATCCAGTAATCCTTAACTTCTGCCAGAGACTAGTTACACGCTGAAGTTGCATCTGAAAATGTAAACGCGTCATGGAAAAAGGTCAGTGGTGTTTGGGTTTACACTGTTACTAATTGCAGTGAATAGTGTACCAAAAAGAAAGCTGTAAATATATACAGACAGATTAGTGAATGTTTTATCTTCTTTACCAGGAGAGGAAGGCTAGAAAAGACCAGGAAGACTCGTGTTGGAACAATTTACCTACACACATACCTGAGTTGGTGAGTCTGATTTCTGTTGCTACATCAAATTCTAGTTCAGGTGCTGTTGTTTCTCTTCTAACCCAGACTGTCTGTCTTTCAGTTCATGATGGAGTCTGCTGTTGCTGTACTGGTGTCCCAGTTCAAGGCGTATGCTGGCAGTGATGGTTCCTCTGACACACTGAGCAGAGACGAGTTCCACAGACTGGTCACGTCGGAGCTCCCCAACATGGTCAAGGTAAGGATTGTAGGTTTACCAAACAACAATAAATGTAGTGATAGACTTTTGAAATGTAGTTGTATTTGTAAAGTTTTGTCACTATGGTGTTCTTATATATACAGTCTATATGTATATATATGTATATATATTCCAATGTTTATTACATCCATTGAGATATTTAGCTGATTGCTTTTTCTTGTGAATGTGAAATATATCTGAAGTGTGCTAATTTACAAGCAGTCTTGTTACCCTGATGGAGTAGCTTTTTTGTACAGTATATGCTAAAATGACTTGCAGCATTATGACTAGTGATTCTGTATTTTTCTTCTTGTCAACAAATCCCATGAAAACACCAAAACCAACAGTGACATAATCTGACCAACAGGTTTTGCCTGTGTAGCCAAAGCCTGGTACAGCTTATTCTTCTGCTGCCATAGAGCTCCATTGTTGTCCACAAACTATTGAGCCACACTATTGTTCCTTCATTACCATGAACATGGTCACGGCAGTTTATTTTGAGTCGATCACACACACACACACACAGACACACACACACAACCACTGCCATAAACACTCATTCGTCCACAAATAACATTTGCTAAAATCTACAGTTCCCACCTATGTTGTGAATCCCTGAGCCTTTTAATGATAGAAGTATGTATGTGTAACTTGTTTTTAAAGATTTGCATCTTTAGTAGTTTTGCCTTGTTGTTTTTTGTCTTTTTTTTTTTTTGTCTTTTGATGGGATTTGTTGACCATATTCATAGATTTTGACGAGGAGCTATTTCTGCTGTGTGTTTGAAAGATAAGAGTCAGTAAGATATTCTAACTTTGCTCTGCTCCTTTTTGTTTGTCAGGCAAATCAGCTTCCTCATAAGGGTGGATTCATATTGAAATGGTTATCATCTGGATGCCATATTGGCTCTTATTTCTCTGACCATGTAATTAAGTCTTAGTCATCACTCTTGTACGTGGGCAGTCTTTAATGCATGTGGTCTTAGTGTACCTCTGAGTCACATAACAGCACTTAAAAAGAACATTTTAGAAGATTTTACCCTTTCCACTCCTGCCTGTGACCTTCAGCAGGAATGAGTAGTTGTATAGCAGGATATAACTACATTTTATGTTTCATTTTATACGTTTCAAGAAAACAATGAGTCTGTCATGAAGAAAAGGTTTCCACCCTTCAGAGACTTGGAAATCTGGCCTTGTTGTGGTCGTGTTGTCTTTACTCTGCATGTTTAACCAGAACACAATGGTAGAAAGTAGCAGTTCCTGTGGCCTGACAAAGAATACAGGGCTGCCTCTTCCAAGTGTGGAAAATTCCATGTGTTTCTGCTCTCATGAAGAGTTGAAATAAACACAGTGGCCACTAGATGGTGACATAGTCAAAGATCCTTGTGCCAAACCACCTCTGCTGATGTTGCATGAATTTGTGAACTAGTGTGCTGTGCCAGTGGCGCCAGCAGCTTGCCCCTGTCTCATCTCACCACACGAGCCCTGGATCATCCACTGAGCCTGTCAGGGTTGTTTTCAGCATTTGATACATGTATCTTCCTGTTTTCCTGCAGAATGCTGGTGACCCTGCTGTTGTTGACCAACTTATGAGCTCATTGGACAAGGACAATGATGGAGAGCTCAGCTTCCTGGAGTTCTGGCAGCTGATTGGACATCTTGCGAGCAAGCATGGGGGGTTCAGCCAATAGAGTGCCCCCAGATACTCTGTAACAGTTCCACGTGTGTTAACTGATTTGCAGTCATACAGTTACGAGAAAAAAATGGGAAATCAGCCAAATGGAAAACACCCTAAAGTTTGTTTCAACTGCACACTGTGTTTTTATCAGTGGTCTGCTTTTCTTTTCACCCTGTTCTCTCAGCAGCTGCTGCCAAACTGGCACACACACTGTCACAGAATACTATTGAAAGATTTCAGCAGTTTTAAAACCAGCCCAGTCTGTTTCATACCCCCCCCCCCACACACACACACACACACACACACATACACACACTCACACACATACACACACTCACAGCTGCTTGTGCTTACAGGTCTGTGAGGGTGTTGTAGAATGGGAATGCATTGTCTGAAAGCTGAGAATGTGTGTATAAGCATTATGTGTTCTTGGCTTGTCTGACTCTTGGAAACAGGCCTCTTGGTGTTTGTCATCTCTCTCCAGGACACAAACAGAGGTGTGGTGTTGGCAGAACAAAATTTGCTTTAGTAAGGCTGGAAATAAAGTGTAAATGAAATGTAAATACGTGGGTGTCTCTTGCTTCTCAGGCCTTCATTTGTTCATTTGTTCATTAGTTTTATTTCTAGTGAGCTCTATCTTTAAAACCTTTCCACAAGTGAGTAAAGTTTCAGGGTGTGGTTTGAGTACATCTGTGTATTGGGAAAGCTTTGAACACGCGCGCACTCAGTCATGAGCGCGTGCTTGTTCTTACACGTTGGGAGAAAGTATCTGCTAGGAAAAATAGCAGAGATGAATGTGCGCGTAAATAATCTCAACATTTTTGTAATAAACCACATTATAAAAACTTTCTGTTTTTTGTTGAGCAGCGGAAATGTTTGTAAGAAAATGTTGCTGAAAACTGTTGTGTTGCTCAAGCTGCGCCTCTCTCCACATTCCTTCTCTCTCAGGCACACGCCCTATGACAATGAAAAAAAAAAAAGTTGGCTGTGGTGAGAAGTTAAATCACGGAAAAGATATGTGTTGCAGCTTAATCCAGCCCAAGACTGAAGAGGAGGATCTCTGAGAGAAAAGGAGTGCAGCTGCTGAAATAGATTCTTGCCTTTTGTTCCCTGTCCTAACGGTGAGTTGCCTTATTCTGATTATGACTTTAGTGCTGAGCTCTCTCTGTGATAGCGAGATGTTTTAGTCCAAACTGTTTTCTAGGCAAACAAGAAAATGCTCAGTTTAGCTGATTTCCTCCACTGTCATCAATTTTGTATAATTTGCGAGCGCCTCTATTGTCATTAGCCATCTTGGCGGCCACAGGGATCGGGTTGTCCTTCTTTGTAATTTAACCCCAATCCCTTTACACTTCCAGAGAAACCCGAGACACGTTTACTTATTTATTTGCTGTATGTCAGTCCTGCCTCTGGCTGCTCTACAAATTGTCAGGATTAGTTGTGGCAAAATGTAAATGTGGGACAGAGGCAAGCCCCCTGACATCTCTGTTACGCACGGCGCTGATTAGTTTTGGCGCATTTGCGCTGAGGCCTCTATCGGCCCGTTAAACAGCCACACTGTGATGACTGTGACGGCGGTCAGATTTGGCTCGAATCAGTCTGAATTATTAACGTTATATGGGAAGAATCCGGTAGCGAGACTCCAGTGGCTTCAACCGGGTGTAGTTTAATGACGCGGAGGAGAAATAGCGACCTGGCGCGATGACAGGTAACATGCTCTGGAGGAAGTGAGTCAGACACGCCTAGTTCAAACAGCAGGAGCATAGAGGAGCTGATCGGTTACTAATCAATGCTCGTGATCGAACTATCGGGCGCCAGCGCAGAATAATGTCCCCTGTGGTCATCCCAAGGATTAAAAACCTTTATTCTAACCCCTTACCAACATTTTGTGGCAGCTTGTGTCAGCTGGCGGGGTGGTGAGGTGAGGTGAGGCGTGGATCAGGTGGGTTGGGTGGCGTCACCTGATTTACCTGTGGACTGGTTTGTACTTGTCAAGCCTTCAAACTAGTTTCAGCTCTCACTATATCTGGCGTCCTCACCAGCGTCTGCGCGATATTTCTGCACTATATTCAGGGTTTATTTGATTAAGTTGAGAGGCAGGCCTACTATGCAAATACTATATGATTCATAAATGGTAAGAGAGTTTAATTCTCATCCGCAGTACCAGTAGGTCACCATTCAAACATGGAAACACTAATGACAAACAGTACAATATGGTATAAGATACATATTTATTAAAATATGTATTTATCATTTGTTGAACCACAAGTCCTGCTGTGATTGGAAACCTCTTTTGCAAGGGAGACAGAAAATAAAACAAATAACACAAAGAATGCTGAAATGAGCCACAGAGAAAACAGGAAGAGTCGTTTACCTCTTAATCTAAATTGTCTTAAACTCTGCCAGAGAACCAGATTCCAAACCCAGTTTCCTTCATTTGATATTTTTTAAGTTTTAAGTTTTTAACATATTATATAAAGAATATAAAGAAAAATTAACTAACCAAATTCCAAACGAGCTTGTGCAGCAGTTTCCGATCAGGATCCTGTTCAGGGTGACAAGATATATCTGATGGATTATAGGAAAGTAGAAAAAGCATGAAATTATATTTATTTTTTCAGGTGTTCCTCTAATCCTTGCTTTTTCCACTTAGGGATTGTTGGAAAGTTCGGGCCTCTAAAAATAACTTCACTGTTTTGTTCATCTGGTCATAACATATACTCATATGCCACTGGTAACAGTGGGTTATGTCTTAAGACAAAAAAGACGGGAAACCACTGAGATGGTGCAAAATTCTTGTAAAATGCCACAAAATAGGAGCAGACATTCAAATATAACAATGTCCTGGGCTTCCCACAAGCATTCGTCACACTTGAGTCATTATGATCGTAATCTCCACGTTATGAATCTCAGTCCAGTGCAAGTGCTGAGAGTCTATAGGAGAGTTTCATGTGTATTCAGCACACACCCGCAGCGAGGCCTCTTCTTGCTCTTATCAGGTAAAACCTACTACATGTTCCTTTTCTACCCATTTGTAATTCTGTGGCCCTGATGTCTCCAGTTCTGACCGAAGGCGTCTTGGTTTCATGTTCGTCTCATTACATTTGGAAGAGACCCTAATGGATGGTGGGCTGTCAGACATTTTGATATATAGCCTGTACAGATACAAACAAACACACACACACACACACAGACACGCACAGACACGCACACACACAGACACTGGTCGGCCTGCTCCTGTGCTGCTGTTTGTCTTGTAGACGATGTTAGGAAGGTGTTAGGACAATTATAGTAACCTATTAAATAATGATGAACACCATGCTGATGACAGATGCTCACTTGTATGTAGGAAAGAGTTGTGTGTGTGTGTGTGTGCGTGCGTGCGTGCGTGCGTGCGTGCGTGTGCATGCATGTGTGCTGGCATTGCAGGGAGACATGAAACAGAATCCAGGGTTTGGGTGGCTGCTCTCACTCACCCAGTAATTAGGTTAATGCAACAGAAGTCCTAATTGGTATCGTCCTTCTTTAGATGTGTGTGTGTGTGTGTGTGCGCGTGTGTTCGCGTGCGCGCATGTCTGTCTTTCTGTATGTCTGTCTGTCTGTCTGTATGTCTTTGTGTGTGGGTCGGTGTACATAGGCAAGCATTGAGGTGTGACATCTGTGTCAGATGGGAGACTTACCAGCTTCTACGGTTACTTCAACATCACCCCAGGCACCCATCATCATTACACTGCTGCCTTGTGGTAGTTTCCAATACTCACTGGAAATCCTGCAGCGAGGTCCCACCCCACACTGCTGTGATACTTATCAACTCTACTCAAGTGTGCAGCATTTATTCTGGCCTTTTCTTTTCGGTGAAGAGTTGCCTTGGCGATCTTGTTTGTTGAGACAACACAGAGGTAAACGGGAGCAGAGACCTAGAGAGACCCCTCTGTTGGCTGAATTAGGATACTCAAGGTTGGCTGTACTTTTTTTTAAGAGGGAACAAGCATAACATTCTCTATGTCCCAGCTTCATATGACCAAATAAACTGTATCTACTGCAGCAGTTTTAGTACTGTACTGTACCAATAATATACAGTATGTACTAGATACTAATTATCATACTGGTTTTGCAGTCACTGTATAAGAAATCAATATGCTTGAACATTTTTTATCAGCAGGAAATTATGCAATAAATGTGCAATCAAACTGCTCGCGTGTCCCGGGTCCATACAACATACTAACTGTATACAGCATAAACAAAATACTAATTGTACAGAAGATATACTGTAGACAAATCGTCATGTTTTTGCAGTTAGTATACCAGAAAAGTTCATTATAATTTAACAATTTCAATAAACAAGGAATTGTGCAATGGTGGATGTATTAAACACCACAAATAGACATAGGATTTGATATTTATTTTCCTCAAGTGCTCCTAGATCTGTTTTACCACCATCAGCACTTCATTTTAATTTGTAAACATCACATGAAGGAAGCAAAAGACTTCATATGTATATATGTATATTTTGCTTTCTGAAATCAGAATCAGATCAATTTTTATTTCATTTCATTTTTTGCAGCTGTAAGTAGCCTCTCTATCTCAATTGTGCATTGCTCTGTGACACAATTGGCCCTTTTCACAGCAGATATTTGTCCCAGTAGAAAAAGCTATACAATGGCTCTGTTCTATTCAAGACGACAGTGTGATAGGGGGAGCCAGCATGCACAGCGCCAGGACCCTGAAAATAAAGCAGCTAAATGGAATTTGTTAACTTCATTATTTACATCTGTGCTTTTTCTGTTGTGACATGTCCAAACCTAGTGGTGTTAATCAACAACACACTTCAAATTGGCACGTAGTATGGAATTGGGATGTAGCTATTGTTTTCTAGATCTGACATTCCAATGAAAGCATGAATGTTGTTCCCATTGCCATCCTGCAATGTTCAACTGGCAGTAAGAAATGCGTGACACAAATTAAAACTTCAGTCTGCATGTCTCCAGTGTTCAGCCGAGGATTTAGCTTCAAATGCCTCTTAGATTCTCTCAATAAAAGCAGCATTTGATGTTTGCATTCCGCCTAGTTTAATCAGTTAGTCCTCGGCTGACTGGCTGGGTGATGTTTTTCAGCTCATACTCGAGCACAGAATGCAGTGTGTTCCTACAGTGTGAGGGGATGTGTGCTGCAGCAGACGGGCAGCAGGCAGTAATCTGAACCTGTGGCCTCCCGCTGGCTTGTGGGGATCAGATGTCCACCGTCAGAGATCACAGCTCCCATTGTGTTTACCTCAGAGACTCCCCTCCTCTTCAGCCTTCCATCACTCCCGCTCTCTTGCTCTGTTTACCTCAGAGAGCCTCCGGGCGCGGCCCCTCCATCTCCCCCCGTTCCCTCTCCTCCTCCTCTTCTATGCTGACATCACTTGTGTGTCTCACCTTTCTCACATGTTTATGTTCAGAGGGCGTAGCCACACATATCCAGTTCAAATATAATTTCAATATGTGATCTAACGATCTGTCATTGCTGCACATTTATGACTTAAATGGCAACTCAGGTTCCTAATCACTACTATAGCTTTTCAATAAATCAATATAATCATTCAATTTTCTATCAATATTTTGACTATTTCCATCATACAAGGCATTTTAAATTAGGTGAGATGTTTTACTAACACATCCTAATATATGATATGATTGCACATAATTAATTGTGAAGAAATCCTAATCTTCATCTGTCAGCTGTGCAAAAGCATTCCAAGGTTATTATGCACATTTCTCCTTTCTGCAATGCAAACAAATGATCCACTAAATAACTGAAATAAGCCTTTTATCCAGCCAAAGCCCAAAGTAAATGTATTTTCATATTAATAAAAATGCATGGGAATGGAATTAGTAACCTAACGGCATGATGTCTGAGTGTCTGAGATATGGTCATATCTCCTCTTGTCATGCCCTCAACTCTCCTCTCCACTTTTTGTCCTTGCCTTCCTCTCTTTAGATATGGAGTCAGCCATTCAGACAGTTGTAACCACATTTCTCAGTTCTGCCAGGGGGAGGGAGAACCTAGATGGGAAATCCTTCCAGAAACTGGTAAAGAAACAGCTCGGCGGCATCATGGAGGTGAGGACCTACATAACTTTTTGCTGCTCTTTAGCACCCTTTGCTGTAAACAAATAATCCATGAGTATAGAGGAAGTGTTTTTTCCTATCTTTGTCCTGGAAGGTGTAAACATGTCAGTACTAACAGTAATGCCTGTTTGCTTCCATCTGTCCCTCTGTGTTTTGCTCAGGATACAAACAGTTCCTCTGCCATCAAGGAGATGCAGCGGGGACTGGATGAGAACAGCGATGGAAAGGTCAGCTTCCAGGAATACCTCACTCTGATTGGCTACGTGGCCAACTCCCTCAGTCAGAGCAAGTGTGGATCCAACGCAGACACATCGTAGATGCTTGTGTACCTGCAGTGTTTGATCCATCAGCAAATTAACAGCCTTTTTTTTTCTTTTTGCACCTTTTAAGTATCTTTTCTCATTTCAAAATTTTCCAGAGATCATGTATACATTTTTTTACACAACAGTCCGTAATAATTTTCATTCACTTAATCCAATAGTTGTGTAATGCTCTGAACTACACTTTAATGTCTGTCCAGATGAATCTTTTTTTTCTGTCACATCATACTGATCTCCACTGTCAAGGACATGTTGAAGGACTCTGAGCTGGATGTCTTTTTTTTATATATCAATTAGACAAATGATACTTACTATATTTTCAAAAATAAAAACTTTATATTAAATCCATACTGTGTGCAGTTTTTCATTAGTATTTCATCGATGAGCAACTCGTCTCATTGCTGGTGTTCACCATTGACTTCCATTATAATTCCGCTAGGAAACGACAAATACATACATTTAAATACTGTATGCGCACAGTGGTTTCATTCATGTGGTTTGACATTGACCCACAGGCACCTCTGCAACGATGTCTGTTCCTTTCACAGCTACCAGCAACACTTGCTAAATTTAGCCGTGACATCCATGGCTAGTCAAACTCAGCAGCCTTTAGATGCATCAACTATTGCAACCAGATCCTGACATACAGTATACGCTTCCTATTGTGTACCATCCTCCACTCTGCAACACTATACATACACACATATGGTGCAGATAAGTGCGCGCGCACACACACACACACACACACACTGTGCTACCCCACTCACAGATAAAATATACTGCAGCAACAATACATAAACAAGAAGATGCACTTACAGTGACGGCAGATTCAATCTTCATCTTGCAATGACAGTGCTTTTGCATTAATCTTGATGGTGTTTCTTTTATAAGCATGATCCTCTAGATCATTCATTCAAGTGTACATGATGATGTGTCTCTTTCATTTATTTTTGCTCTTCATTTACTTTTTATGCCCTTCGCTGTATCGATTACATTGCTTGTAAGTATGTTTTCCTGTCCAAATGCACCTGTATACTGAACCTTTTTCATACGTTTTGCGCATGCATACGGTGTGTTCCGAATGTATTTGTGAAAGTGTGCATGTGTGTGTGTCCTTGCATGAACAAGTTTGCCTTGGGGTGTGTTTTGTAGTCTTTCTATGGGGATTTTTCTGCATGGCTGCCAGGTGTGATGGCTCCATTCATATGTGCTACACTAATCCTTTGGATACTATATCAGGCATGACACCCGTCTCCTCCAGTAAACAACTTACCCCAACACCTACCTGAATTCCATTTTTGCTGCTTAAAATCAATTTTAGCGAGTTGTCAAGTTATTCATCTTTGTATTTATTTTAGTACTCCCTTCAAGCCCATCCTTTGTATTGACATTAAGTACAAAATGGTTGCACAACAAGGTGGCGGGTAATCTGCTGCCACAATAGCGAGCTCTGCCACAGTGAGTGATATGTCCGTGTCTCTGCACCACACCTCATTGTGGTCAGGAAATGCTGTTGGTCTAGTGACATGAGCTCAATCAAAGTATGGATGTTACAGATTAGTTCTGTCTCTCTCAAACTCACTATTCACACTCGATAGCTGCAGAGTTACTTCACTTTAAGTTAAATGAAGTAACCACATAAACCACATTTAATGTGTACAGGTGTACTTGTGGTCATATTAAGGGTAAACCAATTTGCTTAATGTCTTCCTGTAGTTGCAGTACTATTAGTGCTCTCTGTCAATATGTCATCTCTGACAGCAAGCGATGGGGGGGGGGGATCTTACCTGTGTCCATTCAGCAGATAGCAGGTGTCTGATGCGTAAACAGAGAAGGAGGAGAGAAAGAAGGGGTGGGGGGTAGGAAGGAGGAGAAGAGCAACAGGTGGAAGGAGGGAGATGGGAGGAAGGGAGAGGTGGGATGGGTGGAGTGAGGGATGTATTTAAGACGTTGTCCTCCTCATCCTCCTCATCCATCCATCGCTATCAGCTTCTCTCTCTGCACCTGACCAACAGGCCGGCACTCGTCCTCCTCTCAGGTAAGAAGCAAAGAGAAGAGGATGTAGGGAACAGATTTCAACACTGAAAACTGTGTCTCTGCATCTCTCAGGCCATTTTTACTTTGGAAATGTAGATTTTTACTTGTGCAGCTAATGCGTGATGTTGTCTGTAGGTGGACTGCCTGCTCTTTTAAGTCCTGATGCAATTCAGCAACAAAGACAGGAAGAGCTTTCTGTTTATTCACTGATAACTTATGGAACCTCAATGTATCTTGTTATCTGGACATCAGCAAGATAAAGCTTGACAAATGAGTCTTTCTGATAATCTTTTTAATGCTGCTGATTCATGACAGTTTGGTGCATTGTGCCCATGAGGACCGACTGACTGTCATGTGATTGACAGGAAGAGTCTTCACAGTTCAGAGGTGATGTAGGTTCAGGAAAAGGCAAGGACTTACAACTGTCTCCGGTGTTTTCTACCATCCGGCAGAGCTAAAGTAAAAGCCAGCTCAGGTTGCTTCTGTGTGTCCTGGTTACATCTCCTCCACTGGTTCAGCTGTTTTACCAGCTTAGAGTTTCAGTCTTATCAGCTGGCTCACATGTCCGGCTGCTGACTACGTCCTGACTCCCAGAGGTCCTCTTCACCGGGGCAAGGCAACAAACAGATTGAGGATAGGTTTATCTGTGGCAAAATCTTATCAGGAGCACTGGCAGGGAGGAAACACTCCTGATGAGTGAGAGCAAACTTGACTCCAGGGCCGTGCAGGGTTTCTGACTCTGCTGTCACTACAGATAGATATGCTTAGATGCCATCAGTTTGTAGCTATGCGTTACATGCTATGTGTTTTTCTTCATGCCTTATCTGTATATGCCTCTCAGTCAGTCTGGCAGGAGTGTCTAAGAGAGAAAAAGTGTGTGTGCATGCGTTTGTGTATGAGAAAGAGCAACGGAGAGACGCTTTAACCTGTATTGATTTGCAGCAGACTTGTCCTCCATGCTTGAGAGAGCAGATTTTGCAGGCAGAGGTACTGACATGGACTGCTCTCACTGTCTCCTCCTCCCTCCCTTTCTCTTCAATCCTTCTCCAGAATGTCTTTGCCCAACTCAGAGAACGCCTCCACCCTGGAGAACGCCATGCAACTCTTGATCCAGACCTTCCATAAGTACTCTGGAAACGAGGGGGACAAATACACACTGAGCAGGGCTGAGCTCAAAGAGATGCTTACCACAGAGCTTGGCAACTACCTGGGGGTAAGGATGCGCATGTACACACAAGTTTCATGTGTCTAAAATAGATCCGGACTCATTTCTGTTTTATATCCTCACACATGCAGAACGCCCAGGATAAGGAGGCGGTCGATAAGGTTATGGGAGACCTGGATTCCAACAACGACGGGGAGGTAGATTTCACCGAGTTCATCATACTGGTCGGAGCTCTGACTGTAGCCTGCAACGACTTCTTCCTGGAGTACAACGAAAAGCAAGAGAAGAAGAAGTGAACGGCCTCGGGACAAGGTGCAGGGAGGACCTTGTGGGTTTTGCAGGACAGGACAGGACAGGACAGGACAGGACAGGACAGGACAGGACAGGGCGTCCATCTCTCCTGTCTAAAACAGTTTAGACAGGAGAGAAGCACATCCTGTCATGGACTTCACATGCACAAATACACACACACACACACATACACACGCACACACACACACACACACACACACACACACACACGTGCACACACACACACACACACACACACACACACACACGCACACATCTAATTGTCACTCAAGATGTAAATGGTGGGTGTTTGTGTATTTGTCTGCAGTGTCCCATCAATCCATTACAAACCATGTTTATTGCAATGTGAGAGTTTAAGTCAGTTTCAACACCTGTCATTGTTGAATATGTGAATATATCTCTTTCTTTTTCCTCTCATGTATTTTGAAAGACACTCAAACAAAGGAATTCCCCCCTGGAAAGAATAAATGTGACGTTTACTCAAACAATACAATGTTGGTTGTACTTTATTACAGCAGAGAAGAGTAAGGACATATGATAGACACCAGGTGGCAGCAAGTGGCCCTCGGTTGAATCTGGTAGCTCTGACAGAGGATTATTCCATTATCTTTAATTTGCTTTAAGGCAGATGGGTGTGGATTTGAAACAGATTACTGTTTGGCAATTTATTAATGTTATAATATTCATTAAACAAACATGAGGTTACTGTTAACATCATACTCTCGCTTTGCATCAAGAAAGGTTTGTATGAACAGGTAGTTTTCCTGTTTTTTACAGTAGAGTAATGAGAGCTTGAAGTGACCTTGGCTGGGCCCTACACCCATGATTGTTTAAAAGCCCTGCTTCCTAAAAGAGAAAAATGTGAGTGTGTAGGCATGTGTATGTGTGTGTTTGGGAGTATATGAAAAGGAAGTCCCAAGCCTCAATATTAGAAAGCCAGGAAACGTTTCTTTCTTTCACGCTATCCTGTGGTGTAACACTAATTGGAAGTTTGCGTAAGACAGTAGTTTATAGACTATAGGATACGTGTGTGTGTGTGTGTGTGTGTGAGGGAGAGGGAGAGAGAGAGAGAGAGAGAGAGAGAGGGAGAGTACAAATGTGGAACACAGACACTTACTTTGATTAATCTGAACCTACAACCTTTATTGGACTGGTTAAGGTGTGCACAGGAGCAGATTTGAGAGTCAGGAAGGAGAAGGTGAGAGACATGGGAGGATAATGAGAGAGGAAGTGAGAAGAGGGGAAGGAGAGTGGAAAGGTCAGAGAGAGAGAGGGAGAAGAGGGTGGACAGCAGCACTTTGTCCGTGTGGAGCCGTGCAGCCTACAGTTTTCACAGGTCTCTGATAGGCTTTTCACACTTGTTCGGGATCTGCTGGGGATCCCACCTGGGTAATCCCGTCCTCCAGAGACAGAAAGACAGAGAGAGACAGAGAGAGAGAGACCCACACACAGCTCCCAGTCCGGTACTGAGCTGAGCTGCAGACTTGGCCACTTGACTGTAAAAAGCCGGGGAAACTCACAGCGAGTGACAGTGACCGAGGATTAGACGGGAGTTTTTCAGAGATTTCTGGTGGCTTTCCTACGCTGTAACAACACTAACAGTCCTCTGTCTCTGCCTATCCTGCTCTATTCCTCCTTACTCTCTGGATTGTGCTTCCTCTCGTGGTGGTCTGATTATCCTTTTTTTTTTCCAGTCTGTTAAACCTCAACTGCTGCGTCATTATAAAGTCAGACACATTTATACTATTTAGCATCATGTATTGCCCTTTTCTTCATGATTTCTGCTTATGATTTTGCATCTGTAACTTATTATTGCCTGATATGACCGCTTCAGTGTTGGCCATGTTGTCATGTCTCTCTTGTTTATTGAAAATTTATTTCTCTGTGCCCCTGCATCTCGATCGGTTGTCAGGGAACCTGGGAATATTGTGGAAATAAGACAAATCAGCCATTCCATGATAAAAAAGGAAAACTGACCTAATGAATAGGTGTTTGGAGAATGTAGGATTTCATTATTCTAGTTGCACTAATTGTCAGAAATATGTTTGTCCATGGAAGACCAGATAAGAGGGAGAAGACTAGAGAGATGTTGGCAGAGATTAATAGAAAGGGGGGTGGGGGGAGACACACACACACACACACACACACACACACACACACACACACACACACACACACACACACACACACACACACACACAGAGTATGCTCTCCTGAACATTGTATCTGACAGATGTGATAATGGATTAGGGTATGGGGCACGCTCACATGTATACATATGCTCTTAACATTACATACATGAACAGAATCCACTGCAGAAATAGGTACGCTGGAGAGGAGAGGAGAGGAGAGGAGAGGAGAGGAGGTGAGACACTGTCATACTCTGATCTGATAATCACAGCAATGACAGAAAATAAGCAGTTGTGAAATTACATATCAATACACATAATAGCTTCATTTCCATATTAAAATCCCCATTCTTCCACCAATATATTTCGATTTACATGTAACTTTTTCCAACACTGATCTCTGAATACTCTGCCTTGGAGGAATCATATTCCACTGACCATCAAACAGGAAGTCCTATCCACCATCTTGGCTCAGATTCCTCATTTTCTCAGGAGCTCAGCTCATCTCACTGCAGCTGTGCACTCTGGCACAGCAGGCTGCTGCTGTTCTCTACCTACTGTGCACGACTCTCAAAGCAAAAAACTGTCCATGCATAATCTATTACTTTCCCCCTTTGACTTTCATCTAACAATGCGTCCTGGCTCTTTCTTTACTATAAGTATACCCTCTATGTATTTTCCTTCACAATCTGTTGCTTGTACACATATTGTGTTAGTGTGCGCGTCACAGGCTGTGTAGTACAGTTTATATCACATTCTTGTTAAATCTAGACAATCATACAACACACCGTAGCCTCTCTATCAGCAACAGACCCTTGCATGAGCTAACACAGAGAAATCTTAATAATATATACTCAATGCTATACTGTGGTAAGCTGCTATGCTATGATAAAATATACTGAATCAGTTCACTGATGTGGTGGTTTTCTGAAAAAAACTAAAATGAATGTATAAGAACCTTGACATGAACCTCCCTTCCCTTTCTGATTACCTCTGACTGACATCAGTCAATATTGTGAATGAGTAATGTCATAGTTGAAGGCGGGCATGTCATGTGTCAATTAAGCAGTCAGCGGCAGGCGGAGAGGAGTCGATTGGCTGGCGTAAGGTTCGACAAGGAGTAAATCATAGCATCCTCGTTCCCTGACTGGCTGAAGAGGAGAACAGGGAGGGTCGTTTCCACCAGAAAGGGGAGGTCAGTCCTTTAAATATCTGGACAAAAAAACGCAGGTAAGAGTATGATGGTGTTTTCCTTTTTCTTCATACAAGAAAAACAGTTGTTCGTTGCAAAAAACGTTACTAGAAAGGTAATGGGTGTGATTGCTGATCAGTTCCAGTTCTGGTTCCAGTTCCATAGACACAATAAAACCCAGACCCGCCCCCCCCCCTCCCAAACTCTGGCTCTTGTCCTGCTGTGCTGTTTGGTCGAGGGGGAGCTGTCTGTCAGCGTGTTCGTGGCCGGGGGAGGGGACGGTCAGCCTGGCGAGCTGGTGATGGTCTTGGCTGTGTAATTCTGAAAGAGTGGCTGCAGGAACATGCCCATCGTGCCGAACACGCACACAAACACAAAGATCCACAGGAAGAGGCGGTCGATCACCATGGCAACATACTTCCAGTCCTCGCTCACCTGTGGATGGGGATGGGACAAAAGGGGTATGGGATGGGGTGAAGAGAAAAAAATTAAGGTGAGCAGAATCACGTTCTCCCACATTCTCCCTCCATCTACCTCTCTGCCTCTGACTATGCAGAGGGTTAATGGAGGTGAGGGGTTAATGTGAGCAGAGACTTCTTCTGCCACAAAGCGCTGATGAGGTCTGGCATGAGTCAAGGAGGAGGAGAAGGACATGGGGGACAAGAGAGAGTGATGGAGGGCAGAGAGACGGAGGGTGTGCTGACACTGTAACCCCAGTGATGATGACTTGGGGAGGAGGAGGGGGGCGGAGGCGGGTGGAGGGGGGAGGGCTGAGGCAGGAGAGGGAGGATTTTAAAGCTGTCGGCATGGCGACGGGGTGGTAACTATGGCGATGATGGACAGAATTACAGAGGATTGTTAATTCCCGTGTCAGTTTCTTTCACTCCAGAAGAGACGCCTGGTCTCCTAAGATGCCTTGAAGAAAAGCGATAAATAATGCCACCCTCACCCCGCTGTCTCGGCTCCTCCATTCCAGCGCTTTTTCCTGTTGTACGCCTTCTCTGTGCACACGTCACACCTCTGCTATAATTACATGTCTGTGTTGAATATTCACAGGGCTATGATTGCATCACCAGATCCGTCTCCTTTGCTTGTGCTCTGGTGTACTCGACCCCCCCCCCCGCATAAGTTTCGGATGGCACAGCTAGACGTCACGGCTGTCCAGCTCTCTCATGACTATAACATGATATGGTACTGAGAGGACAGATCTGTGCTGCTCAGAATGCTTTTTATGACTACTAACATATTCCCACAAAAGAAGCTGATTTATGGTATGATGTTATCCACACATAGACAAGATAATATTTTAGTTTAATATGGAGAAGAGCCTGAGCGACACGTTGGCAGGCTGGTATTATCACCTAATCTGTTTGTCTCAGATATATTGGTATTGAGGTGTACGATGGTAAGAAATTGCAGGATTTACTGGCGGCATTACCAGCATGTACATTTCACTTTATCTTTGTGTTTTGTGTTTAACTCTAACAAATCATCTATTCATGTGTTTTATGTTTTTAGTTATTTAAACCTCCTGCAGCTGGAAATTATACAGATGAGAGCTGTGAGGCCATAAAACCAAAAACAATGAGCTTAAACAGAGCTTTTTGGCTAAAGGTTGCTAAAAAAAAAAAAAGTAGAGCTATGGAGCTGAGGGAAACTGCAGAGTCAGGTGACAGTTCTCTGTGGGTTTATGATTGTAACCATTGTTAATACAAAAAAGTTATAGTTACTTTAGAAAATTAAAAAAAATACTGTCATCTCAGAAAATAGTTTATTATCCAACTATAAATTATCTTTACCTATGTTTTTATGTTATTTCCTTACTTACTTAAAAAGAATATTGGCCAATATATTGTTATCTCTTTCCAAGTATCAATATCACTGTCATCCCAAAAAGTCTAGTGTTGGTCGGGCTCTAATAAGGAGCAACAGAGATTATTATAGTCATGTTGTAAAAGGTATTAATGAGTAAATATACAGTAAAACTCACGCTTTGATCATCATCCTCACTCTTCATGTGGTTGGCGATGAAGCGTACTCCTTCCACAGCCTCCTCGAAGCCCGGACAGGCTTGAGCCAGCAGAGCCTGAGTCAGAGCAGGACCTCCCGCTGCTTGCTGCCCCCTTGGCAGGTTTCCTGAGCCCCCTTCCCGGCCCTCCCTCACCCTGTTCAGACCATCCATGGATCCACCTCCTGCACCTCCCAGATCCCCTCCAAACTGTTTAACAGATGCTCGGTTCACATAGCAGGTACAAGGGTCACTGTCCTCTTTGCCGAAAACCCCTGTGGAGGTTCCCCCTCCGTTCCCGCCAGCGCCACCCAGCCCGAGACCCACCATCAAGGCCCCTGCTTCCCCGCTGCGCCCACCCTCTTTCTGCTCCTGGGCCCTCCTTCTTTGGCGCAGCCGCTGGCGCTCGCAGCTGTTCCTAGGCTGGCGCATAAAGAGCAGGGCAGGGAGCTTGTTGAGGAACACCAGTTTAACCCAAGGGGGCATAGTGTGTGTGGTGGGCGAGCGGTGGTGCACGTTGAGCACACACACACTGGTGACGATAGAGAAGGTGACTAGGACCATAGTGAACATCAGGTACTTCCCCACCAGAGGGACGTCCAGTGAAGTGGGTGGTACAATCTTGGAGATCAGCAGCAGGAACACAGTGAGGGCCAGGAGCACTGAGATGCAGAGCGTCATCTTCTCTCCGCAGTCTGAGGGCAGGTAGAAGACCAGGATGGCCAGCGAGGTGATGAGGACACACGGGATGATAAGATTGATGGTGTAGAAAAGAGGCTTCCGGCGGATGATAAAGTCATACGTTATGTCCACGTAGGTGGGGTCAGCTGGGTTTTCGTTTCGCCTGCCTGGCAGGGCGATGATGTCCCACTCCCCGCTGGGCGTGAAGTCATCCATACTGGCCACGTCCGCACGGAGCACCAGATCGATCTCGGTGCGGTCGTAGGTCCAGGAGCGGAAGCGCAGCGTGCAGTTCTGCTGGTCAAAGGGGAAGTGCTTGACCTCGATCTTACAGGCTGACTTGTAGATGGCCGGTGGCAACCAGAAGATGCTGCCATCGTAGGAGACCACCGCATTAGAGTAGAACGACACCTCGTACACCCCATCGGCACTGAGAGACAAGGTGACAGAGACAGAGAGGAAGACGAGACGGACAAAAATAGAAGAGTCAGACATAAACAGAACCCTTTATGTGGTGATTTTATTATTTAACAATTTTGTAAACATAAATTATAATGAGAGGCCACATTTCCCCTGAGTCTTATGAACTGTGGGACATGACGCATCTCATTATGCAATACACATTCATTACAGGCCTCTAGGACACACACACACACACACACACACACACACACACACACACACACACACACACACACACACACACACACACACGCACGCACAAAAACAGAGATAGAGAGGTTACGATGTTGAGACTCTGAGGTGTCTCTGGGCAACAGGGTCTCACAAACACTTGTTTATACAAACATAAGGAACAAGGAAGCAGGATCAAATGAACACACAGTCTAGACAGGAAACAGCTCACAGGTCAGACTGGGTCAAGTCAAACAGCTCAAATTAGCCACATTGATCAGAAGTCCAGTGACAACATTAAAGCTGTGGATTGAATTTTCATTTAACTCGAGATTTTGGCAAGGGAACTAATTAATTATGGCTAATGGTGTAGGATATGACACATCATTTCTGACTGTATTTACAGAACTGACCCACCTACTCAAGTACATTCTTAAGCGCTTTCCTGCAAATTTAGTTACAAAATCAAATTGAGACTCGAGTGCCGCCATACGCAGAGATAATCCTCCAGTTTAAGTAACTGACAGTAGTTGGAAGCAATGGAGAAGACTTGGAGGAGCTCGTCGGCCTGGGGTACGTGGGATTAACGGGATCATTTTATCCAGAGTGTGGTGGGTCAGGGATCTTTTAATCTTTAGTAAAGTAAGGACTGAGGCAGGGAAAGAGGAGAAGGCCAGACAGATCACTGTACTCTGATGAGCTGATTTACATACAGTAGGCTGACACTCAGTTTCCATTACATTAAGACACACTTAACTTCTCAGACACACAAGCAACTTTTAATTACAAACCAACAGATCAAGTTTCTGTTTTGAATGTGAAGATTTTTGTGTTATATAACACATCACAGTCGAACACAATTCACTGCATTGTACATATAATTATTTTTATGATTATTTTGTTTTACATATATGTAATTTTGCAAACATTTACCATATGGTTAATTTGAACCATATCATCCAGACTGATCCTCAAGTCTCAGCCCCAAAATACTCCGGTTCATCATCTGCTATTTTAAGGTAATTTGATTAATCACACATTTTGTCTGGGAATTTGCACCACTTCAATACAACTTCGACTCAGGTGGGTCCTACATTATGACTTCATCTTCATCTAGTCCCTGTGTCAAAATATAGTTTTAAGACTTTAATTAAAAACTAGATTTATAGTTTATGCAGTTCTCCCATGCTGCATATTCCTATGGAAATTGGTGTTTAATTAATTTACCACAAAGTATGGGAATTGGTTTCCGAGTTACTGTGTGCACTGTACCTAATGGGAACTTGAAGGTAACAGGGTGCATACACAATGTACAAAGGGTGTACGCGCTGTAGACAAGGCTTGTAGGTGGCAGACTCAAAACTTACAGCTTTATATTTTAGTTTGGAGTTATGCAAATATTTAGAGAAAAAAGAGCAATCTGTGTTTGTATGTGTAAATCTGTCTGTATCTACTACTGCATTTGCATATCTGTATTGTACATGTATATGCGATAACTTTGAGGTGTCTCCTGAGAGTTGGAGATAGTGTGTAATAAAGTAGCATGAGTGGTATGAGCAGATTTCAGTGGATATATTCAGTCCTGTCTGGCAGGTTTCATTCATGTTCTTATCCAAAGTGACTCGGAGTGGTGGCAGCTGCATCACAGCAACAGGGAGTTAGCTTTAAACTATTATCAGTTTAATATGAGAATCCTACAGTACGTGCTTTTGTTGTGCAAGTGTATGAGCATACACGCCTCCCAGAGCTTGTGTGTATGTGTGTGTGTGTGTGTGTGTGTGTGTGTGTGTGTGTGTGTGTGTGTGTGTGTGTCTCCTGGGAGCGCTCTGAAGAGAGGACAGGAGGGTGAGTGAGTGACTCACTTGTTGTAGAGCACCACGTCAGGCAGCCAGATGTGTTTTGAGGGCAGCCTGACCTTCATCATTCCATCAAACTCCTCAGGGACCCAAGTCAGACGATAGTCCTGCCACTCCTGAGGGCCAATAAAAAACACAGTGCTTAGTCACTCATCGGCCAATCACACAGCAGCAAGAAAAGACATCTTGTGAGGAGCGGAGAGGAGAAAGTCTCTCTCTCCATCTTTTCGTCTGGTCGCCAGTCAGTCGGTGGTCAATACAACGCATCAGAGGCCACGTAAGCCTGGGGAACATCCTGTGCTGTCTGTCCTCCCTACGCTTACATCATACTTTTAACTTTAAGCCAAAGAGAGAGAGAGAGAGAGAGAGAGAGAAAAAATCACATCAACCCTGACCCCGAATGGTCTTTTAAACACACCCAGCCACAAGCCAATCAGCATGATTAAAATGGCATCTACAGTAAGGCTGTTCCCGCACATGTGTGTGTGTGCATCAGCAAAGATCTCTATGTCCCCTGTGTAACCTTGTGTAAAAGACCAGCATTATCTTGTTCTGTATGTTGTGGGTCAGTCGTAGACATTGCCACACCGCAGCCTGTGTGACCTGTAACAGCAGCCCTGTCTGGCTCTTTTACATTACAGCCATGTTGGAGCTGTAAAGCCCATGCTAGGTCGTCTGCAGTAACTGTGATGCATTATGGTCATTACAGTTTGTCTTGGCTCAGGACAGCTGTCCTTGGCTCCCCTGCTTACAGACGGCCAGGAATCCATACAGCACTGATGGCCGTGCTATGCTCCGTTACATGTCATAAATCCTAACTTGCTCAGGTGCAAGTGTATGAGCATGTGTGTGTGTGTGGGGTGTGTGTGTGTGTGTGTGCATGTGTGCAAACAAGATGGAAAAAAGCATGACGCTATACACAATCTAATAAAAAATGCAGCGTCCATAATGGTGACACAGGAGGCTGTTTAGGGAACTCTAAGCGATTCATTTATAGATCTAAATTTACATCCTAATTGAACATTTGCCTGTGTAATCTGCTTTAACACCTGCCCCCAAAAGCAGGCACATATGTTGCTGATGTGTGTGGGTGGATGCATTTGTATACCTTGTGTGTGTAAATGCGTGCACCTACATGTTAAAGGCCTCAGCTGTAAGCATTACAAAGAGCCAGCCATGTACAAGAGGGTCACAGTTCAGTCAGAGTCACATTATTCCCAGGTTTCACAGGGTGAGGTAATGGTAAATCACAAACTCAGCAGAGAAATAGGGGCTCCAGACTTTGTGCAATGCGCTTGTGTTATCATCAGTTATCTGTGCTTTGGATGTAAAAAAAAAAAAGAACAAGCCTTGATTCTTGCTCATAAATTTCAACTCACTTCTCATATTTCTCCTGTCAGATTTTGTTTTTTCGAGGCCGTGCATGGTTTGATGTCTCTCTCACTGTCTGACACTTTACCAGTCATCTCAGATCTAAGAGCCGCTGCTTCACATGAGGAGTAGGGGGGAAGGATTAGAGTCTACCAGCCACAGAACCAGTGAAACGTGGAATGCAGAGATGCATCTTTCCCCTCCACTAACTGGACCACTGCTCATATGCTATGGTCTACTAGTATGATAACACTATGGTATTATTCAGTGGCTGTTTTTTTTCTATGCACTGTGACTACCATTCAAGTCCCTAGTGGTTTGTGAGTCACTTCCACTGACCTGGATGTCACACTGTGGAATCTGAGGCAAAACCATCTAAAATTAAATCTTTTAGTCACTGTTTGGTCTGTATTTCAACAATCTTTCCGTGTGTGGCAGGATGTTTACTACAATATGTTGAGACGGGATGGCAAGATGAGGAAAGGAGTGAAAAGTCTCACCTGTGTTAGCCAGACGTTAGTGGTCATCACCTGCTCTCTTTCATGCTGCAGAGGAAGAAGACATTACAAACTGTGACTGAAGGGACACCTCAGTGATTCATTACAGCACTTCCAACATCTGAGTGACAGATTTTTTTTAAAAACAAAATTGCATAACATGGAGGCAGCGAGGCCGGGATATCCTGACTTTGGGTCCCTATAGGCTGAGTCGTGCTTCAAAAACAATGGATCCTACGCTTTGTAATATGCAACTTGATAGCATCATTCATTAAACCCTTCCTGCTTTGTTAATCCAAATGTCTTTCAAACTCCATGTCCCAGTTTGTAACACTGGCAAAAAAAAAACTGAAGTCTTCAAGCTCAAGCCAAGATAACCCTGATTATGTCATCAGGATTAATTTCTCAGACTTTAGAAAGCTCCTCCACAGCCACAGAAGACATTATTCAACTGTTTTCAACAGCTGAGTCGTACTCAGCATAATGAGTAAACTGAATTTTAAGTGTAAAATCACTGGATTGGCCCCTTAAGGTTATGATATGTAACTTTTCCACATTAAAATGTCTAAAAATTATTAGACCTATGTTATATATTTTTTGAGTTGTGCACTACATTATCATATCAAATCAAATGGATCTTAAGTCATCAGAGAAAAGAGCCAGGCAAATGTCAGGCAGCTCAGCTCCCAGCTGCTGGAGATGTCCTGTCCTATGTCCACAGAAGAGCGTCAGCAAATCACTGATTTTTAAAGTGAAACTGCTTAATTCTTTTACTGGTTTTAATCCCCTGGCCCGTTTGTCATGGAGAGGAGGAAACCTCTGTGGATAATTTGGCTGTCGGTAAAAACCTGCTGAATGTCTGGTTCATTAGTTAGTGAAGAAACAAAGGTAATAAATCTCAGTTTCTAGCTATTCACTGTCTGCTGATGTGTTGGTGAATCGCTGATTTTTTAAAGTTGTTTTGGGGCATTTTTGCCTTTAATTGGATAGCTACAGTGGGAGAAATGGGAAAGTCAGGGAGAGAGTGAGGGGGTGACATGGAGACCAAGTGTAGGAGTAGAAACCTGGCCGCTAAGGGTAGGAACAAGCCTTTGTGGTACGGACTCTACTAGGTGAGCTGCTGGGGCGCCTTGATGTTAGTGATTTTTTAAGTGCAACTGCTTTATGGGTGTTTCTATCGGTTTGGATAATCAGTATGGATAATTGGGTTGCCGGTAAAGTCCTCCTAAATGTCTGGTTCATAAGTTATCAGAGAAACGATCAAAACAAAGGTTAGCTGTAATCTCAGCTCGCAGAGCTTCCCCGAGGTCTCATGTCCGCCGACAGTGATGGTGAAACACTGACTTTAAGGACGTTTTCACACCTAAGGTTCGTTTGCTCTGGTCCGATTCAGTTGATGAGTTTGTAAACTTGCAGCACTTTCCTCCTGGTTCCGTTTGCTTTCACGCAGGGAAAAAATTCAAGCGACCGAAAATGCATCATTACAAACCACGTGAGAACGTTCATTCCGCTTATTGGTCAGATTGTCTGGCACCGGAAGAAGGTTACGGCAACCGTCTAGCTCAAAACTAATAGTTCACCTGCTAGTGGGGTCGGATCGAGTTCAGAACTCTTCCACACCAAAAACGAACCGCTCCAGAATTTGTTTGGGACCGGACCGAGACCACCTTCTCGGAAGAGTCTCGGTGCGATTGTTTTGGTCCTCACCTGAGTGCAATTACTGTTTTCACACCTGTCCAAACGAATCGTACCAAGGGGGCAAACGAATCGAGAAAAGCGCAGGTATGAAAACACCCTGAATGTGAAACTGCTTTATACCGTGTTTTTAACGGTTATAATCACCGGGTCTGTTTGATTTCCTGAACGACTGACACTGAAGGAATCCAGAGCTTACGGTAAAGGTGGTGAAGCATGATGGTTTTACTAATATACTTCTAAGGATCATTGTACTGTAAAGCAGCGGTGGTTTTACCCTCATTCTGCAGCTTGTTTGCAGTGGTGAGAAGAAGCTAAGTACATTTTCTCAAGTGCTATACTCACATACAGATCTGAGGTACTTGTTCTTGAGTATTTTATTTGTATGCAACTTTTCTTCTTTTAGTCCACAACATTACAGAGAGAAATATTGCACTTTTTACTCCCTTACATTTATCTGATAAGGGAACCTGCTGGTTACTTTGCAGATTTCAATCATCTGTAGCTCATAAACATTGCATTGCTTCATTAAAACCACTCAACAGAATACAAAATTAATAGAATTAGCTCTACCACAGCTAGCTACAACATTAAAATGCTGCTTACACATTACTGCATAAATAATGATAATCCAAGTACAATATATAACAATGTAACACTGGAGCCCATTATGGATGCATAGTGAGCACTTTAAAATTTTATACATTAAAGACATGTTCCAATAATACTTTGGTTTTTATTTAATCAATATTTTGAACACAGCGGAGGCTTTTTTAGTTACTGCTGTAAGGGATTGAACTGGTTGGTAGCACCAAGTGGCATGACTGTGTCAGCCAATCCCATTTTAAACATTTCACCTTGTTGTTTGTTGTATTACAGTAATTTTGTATTTAAGTATGGAGTTATAATTGTTGGTAGTGGAGGGACTGGTCTCTCCCGGGATTAATATATTGAATGGTGGAGATAAGTGATTTCTCTTTTGTTGCCATGATGGAAAGTAGACAGGGGTGTTGTGCCAAATTGGGGTGTAGTTACACAGTGCTAGTGATGATTTAGTGATTTTATTGGTTTTCCACCCGGATGTTAGAGCTAAGGAGTTTGTGTTGGTCTTGGACTAATTCAGTTACTTGATTGATTGATTGATTGGTAGGAAGGGAAGCCCTCCTACTTGAGGTGGTTTTACATTGATTTTGTTCTCATTCTAGCCATGGTTTATTGTAGTTGCCAATAATTAGGGGAGAAAGTATTTTTAAATTTTGGTTTGAATACTTTTTCTTTATGTTCTTCTTATTTCTTTCACCACAGTTTTATTTTTGCAATATTTTTCAAAATGCTCTGAATTGGTTTCCATGACACTTGGTGAACAGATCAGGTGTGATTATGGTTTATGTATAATAAAAATAAAATGATGGGTATCATACTGAATCGTACTCTTGGTGCGAAAGGTGCGCACAGATTCAAACACACGCTCCCAGACATGTGCACACTCACCACACTGATGAGTTGGGCCAACGACACCATCAGCTGCACAGTAACCAGCTCGGAGCCATTAGTCGCAGGACGGATCAGTTTGTTGTAGTGGGCTGGGTTTAGGAGATGCTCCACCAGCCGCTCCTCTGTGTCTGCCCCGAGGCCGCCTGTAATGAGAACACATTATCATCATCATCATCTGCCTCTATCTGGAGTTGCAGCCATCTGTGTCTCTCTTGGCATCAGTTAAAAAGAATTTTATCATATCAGATAGGCCTATACTGTACAAGCATGCAGGAGAAGGACATCAGCGACGCTATTGACTTTCCCTGTTTGGCCACTGCCCTCACTCTCAGCTTTGAGAGCTGCATGGCTATCCATGTGTATTGAGAATGCAAAGCCTTTGAACCATGGCATTGCTCATCACTGCCGGCTGGAGCACGTCAGCACAGCTCGATACACACTTCATACAAGATCTGACATCATAAGAATGAGTCAACCAGTCTGAACATCTCTATTGCTATCCTCTCCGTCTCTATCGCGCTCTTCGTGCCTCCGCTCTGTCTCTATCTATTCTCCTCTGCCGTGTTGCACTTCCCCCCAACTGCCAGTCTTTTGTAGCTTTGGGTTATTTTCACTCCATCTCTCACTTCCCTTCCCCTGTCTCTTCTCCCCCGTCCCATCCCTCCCTCCCTCACGTCCGCCGTCGCTCCATCTGTAGGCGACTGTAGTTGTATCTGTGTAAGTGGTCGAGTTTGGGCAGAGCTGTCACAACACCACATGCAGGAGGGGAGGCGTGTGACTGAGAGACATGATGCATAGAAAAAAGCAACTGTTCTGCACCTCCTCCTCCTCCTTTCCTGCTCTTCACCCCCTGCCTCTCTGGCATCTGTTTGCTCCTGTGCTGCATCTTTTCCCTCTCACAACTCCCTCACACTTTCCCACTGATGATAAACACCGGCTGCTTACTGTTAACTTGGTACCAGTGCTGTCATCTTCTAACCTGCTATTTGAGAGGCTATTAGCAGCGCAACAAAAACAAATGTTTAAAAGTTGATGTAGGTGAAATCCACACACAGTTATGTTACATTTTTTTTATTTTTTTCCAAATTTAAACCCCTTGAGAGAAAAGCTTTTCATTTTCAACACAGTCCATATACAAAAACATAGATGTTAGAAGTAACAATAAAGAAAAAAAGAACAATCAAAATGATACAGAATAAAATACAAACCCTATACCTTGGGTTTTACCACCATTATCATGCCTTTTTTAAAAAATACATAGTAGTACATAATAGTAGATCGCTGATTCCAGCCTCTCTACTGTAAACTTTAGACTGTTGGTCGTAGTTTGAAGACGTCATCTGAGGCTTGAGAAAATAGTGATCTGCATTTTTGTCATTTTACAGACCAAATATTTATCCGAATGACGGTCTGATTCAATAATCAGTCCTAGTTAATAGCACAGAGAAACTAAATCTATTAGTATCTAAAGTTAGAACGCAGTCAATTGGCAGAGCAGGTATATTTGAGAGAGGCAAACATTTAAGGATTTGCCTAAATAGTGATGTAAAAATTGAAATGGTGAATAAAGTGGAAATTAAAAAAACTGCAAACCACTGATGCTGTTTTTTTCACCATTTTACTGAAGCTGAATTTGTTTCTGAGCTCCTCTCTGATGCGCTAAGTCCCCCCCCCCCTGCCCTGGAGCGCTGCTGTGTTCACTGAACAGGAATGATAGTCTCTGTCTCTGGATCAATGAAGACTCTCTTCATTCCTGTAAACTCAACACGTAATTCCTCCCCATCTTTTTTTTTTTTTTAATCTCCTGCTCTTTCCTGTTTCCCGTTTCACCTGTCTCATTTTCTTTTACACTTTCTCCATCTTTCCGTCTTCCGAGCCGGTCCATATTTCCTTCTCCCGCCCCTGACTGCCTCTCTCCTCCCTGTTATCTCCATCTCCCTGTTGCTGACAGCCACTGTCCATTTATTGCCCCTTTCCCTCGCTTATCCAACATCATCAATACACGGCCTGTCAGCGCATGTGTGCAGTCCGGTTGTTTATTGTCCACAAGCTCCGGCTAGCGTTTTTACGTCTGTATGTTCATGTTGTCTTTTTGTGTGCACATATTCATGAGGGAAATAAGCATCACTGTCTGTGTCGGAGCCATATGAGTAATGTTTATTATTCCCAGAAGCACAATGCAATAACACTGTCGGATGAGACAGGAAGCTAATACAATTCCCTTAAATAATGATGAAGCAGAAAACATCAATTTTTTTGTCAGCCATACTCATAATGTAAATGGTAGTTTCATGCCTACACTAACTAGACGACAATTTATACAAAGTGATATTCAGTTCAGATACTCGGTCTTCTTTGTAAACACAGCCTGTGAGCGGAGTGCTCTCACGCTATCTCACATTATATTTGTATCAAGCATTTTGACGTATCCATGCCCTTGAATGTATGAAAAAAGGAGATTTAATGCAGGGTCTCCGCTCTAAAGCTCACCACACTGACCCCAGCACCTCAACCAAACAGGTGAAGGCTGATTCACGTTGATATCATATCTGTTGGGCATGAGGAGTAATTCAGTGGTTTTTCACTCGAGATGACTAAGCCCATCTTTTACAAGGAGCCAGCGTAAAGTTCGAGGCCAAACTGATGAAGCTGAATAAATGCAAAGGAACTCCTGTGTACAATTGTGTCAAAACTGCGATTCGGGATAATTATTCTACTGCACTCTGCCTGTTTTTCTTTGACCTTAGCAGAATATGTCAAAAACAGTTTCAACAGGCCAAGGAACAAGTGTCTTTTCTGTAGATCTGGCAACAGTTGCAGATATAGTTATATCCACTCACTGAATCTTTGTATTTTTCTTTATTTTTAGTTCTACTAAAATATTTGCACGGGCTCAGTATGAAAGTCTTGACTAATATTTTACAGCACTGAGACAAATTGGAAATCCAGACAGAAAGCTGCAGTCTATTCTGGTTTTCCTTATCTCGAGAAACAAGGCTGCAAAAATACCCACGCTCTCCGCTCTGATCGCTGCACAAACATGTTAACTTGGCTGCTCATCTGCAACGCTTATTAACGCCTCTAAACAAAGACCGATCGCTCTCTTTCTCCGTCTCCACATACGACTCTCTGTCACGCTAAAGGCCGAGCTGAGTGGTTGTAATGTTGCTGGTAGCTCAGGTTGTATTCTGGTTGTTTTCCAGTGCAAATATTGCAAACTTAATGTGACACTATGAATATTTCAGCAGGGCTCCCCATTAGACCCTGGAGCCAGGGAAGTTAGACACCACCATGCACATGCAAACACACTGACACAGCACAGGAAGAGATGAGATGGTAGCCATGTTTACTGTTCGATTGCTTCACATCTATATCTGTTTCTCTTTCCTTCCTTAGAGCATTTGATCTAAGCGTGTTGATCGACCTCAGATAGTATGTATTGTACGTCTTTGTCCTGATTTTGGAGAAATCTATATTTGCAGCAGCTTGTTTGATCATATCGAATGATCAACTGTTCAATTTTACAGCATCTGTTGTTGGTAGTTTACGACGCGACTTAAGAGGCCAGAGTCCACACACGCTGTAGAGACAAATGTGGAGAAAATGAGGGCGAAGCGCGAGCTAAATTGAATTATCCCGCTAAGACTATTACAGTGATGATCTCTATTTATACAGCTCGCTCAAATGAGAAAAGGTTGGAGGGAAAGTAGGATCGCTCTCTGCTCTCCTCTCAGTGCTCTATACTAAAGAGGCTTTTTGGCTGCAGCTGCGAGCTTTTATGCTGAAATATTCTTCAATCAATAATGGAGAGATCCATTGATCTACTGGCAACACCCAATTGGCTCTGTAGTGCCCATAGAACTGAGATATTAATATTGATCCTCCATCCAGCCGCAATATCACATTACTCCAAAAAAAAAAAAAAGAAAAAAAAAAGACAAAGCCATCCCACTGTAGACTGAGGGCAGAAGCTTTACTGTTGCCAAATTGAACAAACGTCCATGTCGAGAAAAGTGTGGCCAGCTGAGACTGTGCTATTGTAATAACTAATAATGATGAGAAGATACAGTTTATATTTTACGACAATGTCATGTCTTATGCATCTTCTTCTTCTATGTATGTATTTCTATTCTTATATGCAACACTATAATTTGAATATTATTATATTAATGAATTCATAAAGATCTTTTATAGAAGCAAATATTGCGTAGATGCATGAAAAACATAATGTAACTGTGATGAATACATAAAGAAATGATATAAGAAACAGCACAAGATTAAAAGTTTGCGAAATTAAAACTATGGCATATAAATAAATAAAATGTGTAATGTGTGAGAGAAGAAGTATTTGCTGATTCCTCCAGCATAGTGGTTTACAGCCTGAAACTTAATATTAGAGCTGAAATTGTAAGATGAGTAATTGATTAGTTGATCAACAGAACACTATTTATGTAACTTTATTTTTCAAAAACAATGGGGAATATTAACTGGTTCCAGCTTTTAAAACGATGTTGTAACCTGAATATCTTTGTGGTTTGGACTGTTTGGACAGCACCTTGAGCTTTGGGAAGGTGCAATGAGCATTTTTCTCTATTATATGACTATAGGCTGACTAATCAATAATGGAAAATAATCAATAGTTGCAGCACTGATAATTATTATTATAAAGATTCAAGATAAAAGTTTTATATTTAGCTTCATACTTACTGTTCTTCATACAAACAGGCCATAATCGCTTAAACTGTGGGAGGCCCATTATCAAAAACGCATGTTGTGGGGCGAAGCATTGTTTCAGCAATAGAAATAAAAATGTACTAGTTTATATCAATAGCTTCAAATTACAAATTAGTCTATTTTTAACCATAGTCAATATCTCGAGGTTTTTCAGTGATGCCATATGATATGTGTAGCTACAAGTTTCCATGTAATATAAAGCTGCATCCCATGTTTAAATCTTTTTGAATACATAAGTGTATGACTGATATTTCCTCTGTGAAGCACTGGGACAAGATGATACAGAACATAATGTAAAACACTGTGGAAAATGTTCAGAAGTCACATCCGGGGAAATCTGAGGTGGACAGAGAATCTGCAGTTGAAAAGCTTCACTGTTAGAAAATGTCTAGAAATCCTTATATCGGGAATATACAGTCTTGTGGTTTATTTGTATTATTTACAGCCCAGGCAGCAGTTGCATGAAAGACGGTATGGCTTTCTATTTCAGGGATTGCAATAAAACACATCACTTGAACTGCATTATGCCTCTCATAACAGCTATTATTTGGCTACTCATAAATCCTAAAGCCACATTATCACCGGCCCGAAGCCTGCCGCCTGAGAGTAAGATGTGCACGTGAAGAAATAGTCGTCTGTCTGACAGCAATACATGGATCTAGATAATAATTCAGACTTGGGGCTGTATTTTTTTCTTAATGTCCTGATCAAAATCATGACAAACATAATTTTATTTTTTTTCTCTAAGCTTATTTTTCTCTAGTTTTGTTGTACCTTTCTAGGTCAGTATACTTTTAGATGCCAGACCATTTTTATAGTGATGACAAGATGAAGCAGTTTTATCTGTCATACATCAGATATAAGTGCTATCTTTAATACACCTCGATAAACACCTAC